AAGGCAGTTCTGAAGGCGAAAGGGGGTCGAACACCGTATTAGTATGGTGTTCCTAATAATCCTTTAGGTGAGTGTATATATATTTATATATTAACCACCTCATCTCTCGAAGTCTGGCACCAACCACCAAAGCAAATTCCTTGTATGTGTGAACGTACTTGGCAATAAACTCGATTTTGATTCTGATAATATTAAGTCATAACCTTGTGAGCCTGAATATTTGCATACTAGGGAAAACCAAATAGCCATAATCAGAAAGCTACCAGACGTCCTTCTGTTTTTATTCCGATCCCGCCCTGTGAAATATGACTTTGGCGATATCATCCAAAGCACTATCTGATTGACTGACCAGCTGAGATCTGGCTTTCTGCTTTAGAAAGCCACTGTTTTGCAAACAGTGAAGTGCTACCAGCACCAGGCCAATACATCAACCCACTGACATTTCATGCAGTGGACAGATCTATTGTAGAAGTTCTTATTTCAGCTCATTAATATTCTCTAAATAAAGGCTGTCAGTTTGTCTGTGTATTATCAACATGGTGAAAATGGGTCTACATAGTTGCATGGAGTACTCTAAGCCCAGGTTAACAAGCTTCGAAGGCCAGTCCCAGATGCAATCCAATTATTATGTAAGATTTGCCTAAAGTCGATTTAAGCTTTAAAGATGTTTCCATAATGCATAGTCAAGGCAAGAAAAGAACATAATGTAAGTTTCTTTGCATACTTTTAAGGCATGGCACGTTTCTCAATATTCAATTTCGAAGGCATTTCAGCTTGAATACTAATTGAATAGCAAATTAAGCAGCAATTTAAGGCTGCCGCCTTCTGCTGATGGGAACTGAAAATTTGTGATTAGTTCTCATCTTGCTCAACCTGATAAGCTAATGATGCAGCTGCCCCACCTGTACCGGAAAGTGACACACTTGAAGTTCACTCACCTGCACCAAATGAAGGGTTAATTAAAGGGGGATGAGATGGAAAATTGTGCTGATTAATTCTGAGCCACATGTTTACACCCCCCCCCCCCCCACACACACACACACACACACACACTAAATTCGACACATGGGCAGTGCTTTACATGAACATAAACAGAACACAGGACCAGGAAAGAGATTTAAGCAAGGCGATGAAGCAATGGCACCAGGACAGGCGTGACATGACAGGGAAGGACTTTGGTAATTCATTCCAAGTTGAGGTCCCCCATCCAGTAACCCCAGTCAGAGGCTATGCATGTGCTCCAGACATTTCTTATTGCCAGCCAGGGCCACATTATCACCTCCAGAGCCATTAGAGGATTTGAATCTGTTCAACTGGAATCTGAAGCAGCTGCACTGTCAACGCAGCGCCAACCAATGGTTTACATAATTGGAAAAGTTTGATGGACCAGGAATGCAAAGCGCAAGTTCAGCGGGAGTTCAGAGTGGTGTGCATTAGAATTACATCGACGCTCGGATTAAACCGGGCCGAATTTCTGAAGAAACACCCATTGTGAGCCTGTGCATGAATGCCAGATGAAAATCTGTCAGCATCTTTGTGGAAATACGCACTCAGCAACAACTCCTTCCATTCAGAGTCCGGGCCTAACCGACTGGCAGCAACGGGAAATTGACTTAGAATTAAGCTCATTGTCTGTGTCCAGGTTTCTCTTTTTTGGAAGCGTGCCCCTTTTGCCACTTGCGTCAGACGGCAGGTCACTCAGGCAAGGGTTAACGACGTCCTGTGATAACAAGTGTCGCGGGTTTGATTCAGCTTCCTCAATGGAGGCGCTCAAAGGAAGGACGGGGAGACCTGAAAGGCAGGCCATGTAGTCCATCATCGCCATTTTGTTAGCTTATTCAATGCTTTTCTCTTGTCAGCCTCACTCGCCCACACCCCACGTTCGCACGTCAGCAGCAGTTTAATAATGGTTTACAGGCATTACACAAAGAGGTCCACGTGGTGTCGAGCCAAATCTCATTAAGCGAGGCAGTGATGAGTCGGAGACCTCGAGGGCAGAGTGGCTCTGGCTAACAGGATCTCCCCTGCACCTAGAACCTAGTCTAGCACCAATAGTCTTCCAGATGTTACAACTTCAGAACCCCTGTAGTACATGATCAATCAATAAGTCTATTTAATAGCCCAAAATTTTAAACCGGATGCCGGCCCAATGCTGAAACGTTTGTCTTAAACTTATGGCAGAGAGATAATAAAAAGAATGCAAGTCATCAGAGTTCAAGCGTACAAGCATCCAAGCAGCAACGCTTCAAGTACAGTGTAGCAGTCGCAAGTGTGAACATCTCATACAGTGTTTAACGTATCGTACAGTGTTTTAAATTTGTATTCATTTATATGTTATCAGTTAGTGGCACAGTGGTTAGCACTGTGGCCTCACACCTCTGACCGGTGTTTGAGTCTCTGCCACGGCTCTGTGTGTGGAGTCTCTTATGTTCTCCACGTGTCATTGTGGGGTTTTCCCTACAGTCCAAAGTCCAAAAGCAGGCTGAGGTGAATTGGCGTTACCAAATTGTGAGTGTGCCCTGTGATTGGTTGGTGCCCCACCCTGGGTTGGTTGCTGCCTCCTGCCTATTGGGTCCAGAGCCCTGTGACCCTGAATAAGACAAGCGGTGTGGATGATATCTTTATACTTATTCATTGACAATAATTCTTTTTTTTACTTATTTGCTCACATTCTTTGACAATCATATTCAAATTACAATATATTCCACTTAAGACGGGTTCATCAGAACATAACCCCATCGTAAGTCGAAGAGCACTGTACTTCAGTTCTATGATATTGTCTGTGAACCAATGATATCATTCATCTAAGTAGGTAGAGCCTGTATATTTTGATTTGAAGCCTCACAACGAAGCTTAATCCTATTTTTCTGGAAAACCAGTGTTGCTTGTCTGTTTGACACATATAAAACATAAAGGGGCATTTCTGTTTGTGATTCAGCTCCGCCCCTTTAGCTATAGCTTTCCTTTTTAGGCTGAAATATGCATGTTCGAAGGAGAGGTGAGTTTCCCAAAACTAAACAGGTTTTCTAATCCATTAATCTCAGCCTTTCTACTGGGTATTTATAGAAAACCCATTAGCATTCTTCAATTATTCACCAAGGTAGGGGATACCACACGATTCCTAATCTGCATGGACATGTGTACAAAATTCCCTGCCTGACTACATTTCCATTCACGTACACCGTCTCTATTATGACTAAAACAATTATATCAAGGAGTGTACTTACTTGTAGATCAATGTCCACAGATGTTAGGCAGCTGAAGGTTTACCAGTTTTGAATTCCCGCTGGGAGCCATTTCAAGTCCGTTGTATTTACTTCGAACGTTTATAACACATAATGAAAAGGTTGTCTGAGTAAAAGTCTCATAACTCAAGAAAATAGAAACTTCAGACTTACTTCTGGGATCATCTGCATTTGCATTTGTATTGACAGATTTATCTTTTACCTTTGAAAGAATGTTTCCTGTGATGTTATTCTAGAAGACAAAGGAAATACTATGACTGAGTCAGAGAGAAAATAACATTATACTTGGGGCAGATCATAGCAACAGGCAAAAGATACTGGTCAGTTACGGTTTCACTTAAAGTGTAAAAGACTCTTTAGGCTAATCTGAACATCCAAGGATAATCCAACAACCACAAGTCAGGTTCAGTGTTAAATAAGCCCTGGAAATGCCGTGATGTCCTCTGCCCTTCTGAAAATGGGATGATTCAGGCTGGAAAGAAACCCAAAGGAATGCCGGCTGATTCAATACCTATGCTGATAATGCCTTTCTTTCATTCCAGGTGCCTTCCTCTTCTGCTGGACACCATTCTTCGTCGTTCACACCATGCGAGCTCTTTGTGAGTCATGTGACATCTCTCCCCACCTGATGAGCATCGTCACCTGGTTGGGCTACGTCAACAGCGCCATCAACCCTGTCATTTACACGGTTTTCAACACGGAGTTCAGGAAGTTCTTCCGTAAATTCATTCCTAGCTGCTGCTAACCACAGCTGGATGGGAAAAGCACAACAAAAACACACTGTATTACTTATCTATACTGTACAAACAGTCGCTAAAATTCTCTTATATTTTTATTGTTATTTTGTACTTCTTGAAATAATCATGCATTACTGTATGGATATCGTTTTTTTTTCCTGGATACTGACATCGTCAGAAGTTTTTCTAATCTCCATGCTATATGTGGAAATTTTCCCAGCAAGGAAACCCATTCCACTGTGTAATCAAATGTACATTAGTGAGACAAAACATTACTGTTTTTTATGTTAATACTTTGGAATCAAAATTGATATTTAAAATAAAAGAATTTAACAAACCTGAACAGTGTATGAGTAGAATTGTATAAAGCTGGGGGGGGGCATAGAGCAGACAGCAGTCATCTGTCATAAACACGGTCCCATGATGCACAGTCGTTTTGTAATTAAACTGCGCCAGATACGTTTTACATGACATAAAATGACAAACAATGTTCTCAACAGTTTAGTCGCCTCAAGTCCTACCCATTTGTGCCAGATCTTTCTAAGACCTCTTAGTTTAAAAAAAATCAGTAAAGCGCTGTTGGCAAGACCTCTCAAATGCTAATGTGTCCCCCGTCAAAAAAAAAAATAGCTTCCACCAAATTACTCAGAAGCACAAATTAGGCTAACAGAAGTTGGGGGGGAAACAAAAGGTCTTGGCAGAGCCGCAAGATGAATGGAACTGAAAAACACCCAGCAGAAGCACCATCTTATCATACAGCATCCAGCAGCTAATCTCTACTCACAAACAGCCAAGTTTGTGTAGCAGCCTGCCGCTCACCACAGGCAGCGCAGGCATGCGGCACTCATGTCAAAACGAGACGTAAGACATTTTCCCATCTTACAGCTGGGGGTAGCATTATTACCGTGCCAGCGGCATCAACACAGCAATCAGAGCACACCACCATGCTACTTACGTGACTCAGAGGGCCGTCTCTATTGGTCACCAGGCAGACTGCTTCTTCCAGGTCTTCCAATAGGAGCCCTCCTCCTTTGCCGTCACCTGCTGGGATATATATATATCTCACATTTTATATTTTCACCACTTGGATGGAAGCAAACTCAAGGACACGGGGGGGGAGAGACACCCTCATCCCACTTCTAACTTGTAAAATGCAATTATATGGGAGCAGATAGGAGGGTGGATCATTCCTCACGAGGCTTTAAACCAAATCTGAGTGTGTTATTTTCCATTACAGTTAAAAACCCTGAAGTCTCTGACCAACTGTCAGGAGACGGCCCTGTATCTCATCTCCACCACCCACTTTCTATTCAGTGCATATAACACGTTTATTATACAGAGCACTGTGGGTCAAAGTAAGGTCACACTAAACGATCGTTAAAACTTCTCCTAGTGGAAGTCATCTTTTACTGCTTTGTTGTGCCAACAGAGATGGACCAAAGGAAGGAACATCATCCCAAGGAGCCAGCGAGTGACAGAAAATATGGAAGACAGGATCTCCTGCCCACCCAAGATCCCTCTAAGATTCTATGCGTAATAGTTTGGTTTATTGTAAAGGTCAAAGAAAAATTCTGGTTGATGGCGTTTAATGAACACATTCCCCTTGGGGTGCCAGGAACAGGATTGAAAACCATTACATTAGCCCAGGAGACCTTTTAAAGCAGGGGTGGGCAATCTTATCCGCAAAGGGTCTTTAGGTCGGCTGTTCAAACCCAGGTGTGAGGGCTCTGCAGCCAATCAGTCCTCTAATTAGCAATCTAATTAGGGAGTTGCAGTGAAAACCCGCATACACAACGGTCCTTTCTGGATAAGATTGGCCACTCCTGTTTTAGAGTAACAAAGCTGAACCAGCTCATCCAGAGACTGGTCACAGATAAGCGTTGAACCGTGACAAGGTGCACCTAATCCTAGCTATGCAGAAACTTGACTTAGGTTGCTGAAACCGTAAAGCTTCAATATCACCTTTTCCTGGAGAAAAAGAAACAAAACTAAAGTAATTATAATGTCTTTCACCTCTCATCATGAGGAATGAAAAGAGAATGCAGATTAGCATCGTTTTTTTACGTCAAAGGTGTGAGGAGCTATTTTGACCTTGTGTTGGAGAGAAAAAGAGAAGATATTTCAAATATCTTGCCAGATGCTTAAATGTCCACAGAGAGACCTGCTCATTCCGGAATCCACTCCCTAGCGATAACTGTCAGCATCCCCGCTAATGCAGACAGACAAACAACCTCTGACGATGCCAGCCATATCTCATCTTCTCTAGACAGATGCAATTGACCAGTTGTGCTTTTAAATACATGAATTCTGAAAAGCACTTACAAATACAAACAGAGGACATCAATATCAGACAGTAACCTTGGTGTCTGTATTATATTTTCTACATTCCCTAGAGGTCAGGAGTGACTACTTTTGATGGGTCATGCCTTTTCACCTGAACAAATTGGGTTCACGATTCATTATACCTGCATGTTTTGTGTTCGTAAACCCATTGGCCTTTATAGTCGGGTATCTAATCAAAATTAGATACCTCAATGAGTCGACTTCCTCTACATTCTAAATGTTTGTGTTATAAGGACAGCTTTATTTAATCAGAATGTTGCAGGTGTATTGAAACAACGAATCCATTGATTGCAGGAGGGATGAGACAATGAAAAGAACTTGCGATAAAGGGTATCAAAGACAAAAATCCAGCCTCACCAGCTCAGAAAAGCTTTGGCTCTACACTCCTCTAGGCACTACAAGTTTTAAAGTCAGAAGTGCCTGGTTTCATCTATACTTTGACATTCTTTAAGTAAGACATTGAAGAACCCAGAAGACATTGCCCTTTTATAACTTCAGGTGACTATGTATACAGCAAGAACACTCACAGGCTAGGTAGATCCATCCATTTTCTGTACCCACTAAAATATGCAGAATCACAGGGTTCTGGAGCCTAACCCGGAAGCTACAGGCACAAGTCCGGCAATAACCCAGCACAGAACACTCATACCCCATTCACACCTACAGTGTGAACTCCAATACACCTTAACCTGTGGGCCAGAAACTGGAGTATCTAGATGAAACTCCATGACGACACAGGGAGAATGAGCAAATTCCACATGCATGGAGCAAGGGCAGAGACTTTAACCCTGGACTCTAGAAGTGTTTGCCAACAGTGCCAACCACTGTGCCACTATGCCAACCAGGGAGGGCAGATCCAGTTGAATGTGCCCAGCTACCAGCCACTATCTGTTCATTTGTGCCCTTCATGCAGCCCAAGTTTGATGGGAGCTTCTTTCAACACCCTCTGAACCCAACCGTACCACTAGTTTCATTATATTTTTGGTCGAGGGACAAACTTCTAACAGCTAATCAAGATTAGAAAGCAGGGAAGACACGGACTGAGGCGACACACTCGCAGTCTGAAACAGAAATCAGCTCTCGTCTTTCAAAAGGATAGGCTATTCCCCACCCCCCCCAAAAAATAAATAGGTCAGATGACAAACTTTCCCAAAGTTTTCAGAAGGGCAGGAGAAGCAAAGCTGTTTTTAGCCTGGTACTACAGTATATGCAAGGGCGAGTTCTAATAGGCTACGATTTTTTTTTTTATTGAGCTACACATAAGCGTCAAGGTTGCCATGTGCAGTGACACATATTTAGGCACTCCAAATTAGGTCAGAAGACTTCACTCAAAACCCTTCAGTCCTGAAAACAATGCAAAATGTGCCTGTGAGGAATCAGGCAAAAATATTTATTTAGATCAGGGGTCTCTGATGAACCACGCCTGATTTCAGCCAGATAGTAACTCATCAGGTAGGATAGAACACCAGTACTCCGGGATCAGGTTTACCTAACCCTGACTTAGACTGCTAATGTAATGCAAGTTCATATTAAGCTGAGGTATCTGCTTTGCATTAACCGCGCAACTTCTGAATCTGCACAGCGATACTGACCAAAATATACATATACTGGGACTGCTGGATGTGGCAAAGCACTGGAGCCAAGCTGGGCTGGGAGATGAAGTCAAGACTTTGGCACACAAGTGAGTTGATGGGGTGACACTGGACCCCTGCTGGCCCAAATGTAACACTTCAGGAGTTAGTTCAGAATTTGAACAGCATGTGTGGTGCGAACACCGAAAGCACCTCAAGGCGGCCTGCTAACAGGGCCTGTCCAGTCCATTGTGATGATCATACTGATACATGTTTATTCTGAGCAGGCAACCAGGAAAGAGGGAGTAGCTGATTGGGTAGCTGGGGTTGTCCATCTTCTATCTAATGAATACCCATTTTCGCTGATCTGGCGCACATGCCCATACACACACAGATCGTTTAAAGTATTTTCCCAGTGGAAAGCATTTAACACACTTACCAATGAGGCTTTCACACTCTCAGTTCGACACACACACACACACACACACACACACACACACAAAGAATGTTTCACATGGTTTTCTTTAATTTCAATAAGTGTCAGTTGTGTTTTTTTCCTCACTTTTCACCACTTCCGTTGTTTTCAGCGTAACACTACGCTTCTTTGGTAGATTTTCCAAACAGATCAACAGAAGAACACACAGAAGACCCAAGGCGACCACAAACCAATTCTGGTCACAAGGAGTCATACCTCAAAGATTAATCCCTCCCCAATAAACTGTAGAAAATATATTTCACTTAAATAAATACATTAAAAAAATAATGTTCCAAATTCCAAAGTAAATTCCAAGAAACAGGCCCCGCACTGGCTCTGTCTGCTTGTCAGATGGCACAGATCCGTTTGTGTTCCGATCAATAGTGCAGTGTGTTCCAGATGATCAGCCCATGCTCAGATTGTCTGGGACATTTGTCTGAATATGAGTCATAGCATCGTACTGCTACGATATGTGCAGGGGATGAGAAAATTGCTTCCTTTTCGTGAGGGTCAAGTAGGTGAGAGTCAACAATCAGCAAATGCGTAAAGCTTTTTTAAAAAAAAAAAACCTAATTTTCCTGATCAGGAAAAATGGGTTCCAGATATCCAATCAAAGCTTGTCAAATATGGAAACTTCTGTTTCATGAAGAGAGGCAATCATCCAGCATACCGACCCAAATGGCAATGAACTTTATCTTGCCTCCATTGCACCCAAAAAGAGAGCAAATTTATACCTAACAAAATCTGACAGGGCTGATGTAATCCTCTCTCCAGATGCGGGGTTTTCATCAAAGTCTTTGCTAGCAGGACAGTGAGGACTGTGCGCTTATCAGGACGGTGGCTCCCACACGCCTGTCCGCTGTCACACGTTGCCATGGGCACCGACGTGCCTCAGCAGCACGTTACACCTTAACCTTCTCCATGTCCATTGGGGGCATCTGGTCCTCCCCCTGGATAGACACAGCAGCAGCAGGCTGGCAGCAGAGCTGATGGTCCTTCCAGTCCTGGGAAACCCAACACAGAATGGGAATGAGAAGAAAGCAATAGCACCTTAAATTCCTACACAACAACAGAAAAACACGCAGACCGATCTGACTTACCCTGCACTGAGCCTTACCCTGAGGTCATGAGTATCTCAGTTTATACCAAAACATCTTAGCCATTTTGTCATGCCAAACCATCCCCTTGGGTTCGCAAAACTGAGACTGAAACCATGCTCAGAGGTGGAGATTTCAGGTCCAGAGAGTACAAATCCAGGCTAAGATTTTGTTTCAACCAACCAGCTGAGTACTCTGTGACTGAGACTTTTTATACTCAATTGGGTGGTTGAAACAAAATCTTGGTCTGGATTTGTACTCTCTGGACCTGAAATCTCCACCTCTGCCCATGCTGTACTTAACTGACTGAAACTGCTAATTATTATGACTAATCCGAGAAGGTCATGCTATCACAACATTTTAAGTATTTAATTTTTAATTACTTTTTTAATTTTAAATTTAAGTATTTATTTATTTTTAAGGTATTTATGGAAACAAGTTCTGACTATGCATGGATGCTCACACCTCCATGGTTGACATTTGGAGCCATGCCCTACAATAGGGCCCCTGTATCTCTTCAGCTTGCACTTACCTTTCTCTGGCAGAATGTGGAGCAGTAGTTGACCTTCCGGCAGCCAGTGCATTCACTCATGGCCTCCCTTCCGCAGTTGACGCACATTTGCTGCAGTCGCCAAAAATACAATTAAATAACTCGTTACTAAGCCAGACGATGTCGTCAGCTCCAGATGCTCTCTTTTGCATGAAGTTAGCTAGCCCTCAGGTCGGCTGGGTTCCCTTGGTGACAATGACAGGCATGACTGGGAAGCAGGGCAGTCATGTGTTTCAAGCTTATTGTTCCACTCCAACACAGACAAAGACAGAATGATTATATCGGGGTCCCCTCCCCAACCTAGCCATAATTCCACAGGCAAAAATAATACAACCTTCCTTCCAAGTCTGCCAGGGCCACTACTTATGGCAACAGATCCACGATTACGTTAAAAATCCACGTTAGCATGTTAGCATTCCAAGCCCACGGGAGCCCTAATCACCAGCAGTGTTCAGTAAGACAAATGAGATTTCTGAACAAATACCCTCATGCTGATTACGACAAGAAATTACCTTAGCCAATCACGCCCCTGATGCCTCACACAGACATATATATCAAGGCCTTCATAAGTCAGATTTTTTTTTTCTGACACTGAGTCATTAACAGGGCAGAGCTAAAATGTGTCACAACAGTGTTGTTCCCAAAGATCTCCGTGGGGCAAAGCATGTGACGACTGTCATAGCGGATATTTTTTCCCCCAAAGCAACAGATCTGCAGTAAGGTGTGTTCATCATCAAGACGAGGCAAGGTGTCCTGTTCCTCCAAGGCTGTTAGCCGTTAGCCCATCTCACGCATCGAAAACAGCCTGCCTAACTTCAGGGGCACCAACAAGTACTCACTCAATGGCTAAAGCCCTCCAGAAATCCCCAGGCAGAGTAAACAGGCCTGCAGCCTGTGGCGGCTGCTTTTACCTTTATGATGATCTCTGTTGTTTTCCCCTCGGGGTCATCTGCATGCTGGAAGGATAGCTGACCTGGGAAAGACTGCAGAGAGAGAGAGGGAGAGGGAGAGAGAGAGAGAGAGAGAACAATCACTCCAAGCTCACTCTGATTGAGAGCAACACCTATAGCATAAAACTTAGAGAGATGCACAGAGATGATACAGGTTGGCAGCGTAAGTAAAAATATAGCAAAAAATTGGAAAGGATGAACAGGGAAATAAGGAAAAGCTGCTACAGGGTATCTGGTCTTATCGTTATTTACTGATCGTTAGATTGTTAGCGAACTAAGTGAAAAACAGAGGACAGGCATTTGTGGCTGTTGCATCTCAGTTATGGAACTCCCATCCCAACTTCAACAAGGAAACAATTTAAAACCAAACTAAAGACTGACTTTTACTCTACAGCCTTTTGTGATCTTCAATGCTGCTCCGTCTTGACGACATCGTGCTTCTGTTATGCTGCGGGTTTTTGTTTTATTTTGGGCGTTTTCTTTTTAATTGTATCACAGTGGTGTTTTTCATTGCTTTTTATTGCTGTGGTTTTTATTTAATTTTTTATGTTACTGACTGTGAAGCACTTTGGGTACGACACCATGGTTACTGTTGTAAATGTGCTTTATAAATAAATTACTATTGGCATTGGCATTGCCATTGAATTCAAGTCACAATTAAATAAAGCTGCCCTTACCTCCTTCCTTTCGGAAGATGCCTTGTCCTGGGTCACGAGGGCTTCCTGGCCGGCCTGGCTGGCCTGCTTGGCGTGGTCGATCAGTGCTTTCAGCTGCTGCACGCTGCTCTGCAGGCTGTTGGCTATCTCCTCCAGGTACAGCCAGGTGCGCTGTTCCCCCGTCTCCAGCCCACCGGGCAGACCGGGGGAGGGAGCTTTGGCCTGGACCGGCTGGGGGGCCACAGCCAGCGCCGGTAGAGATGTCAGGACTGTGGAAGGGAAAGCGAAGGGATCAGCACACTGGGATCAGCAGAGGGCCGATTATTCGGTTTATTTAAGCTACTATTCATTTTGTTTACAGTGCAGGGAGAGTTCAAATCTGTTCACTTCAATTCATTTTGATATACTGTCTACTGAGCACTGAAATCATCTTTTATGAACAGTATGGCTGTAACAACAACAGCTGCCCAGCTAAGGCCTGAACAACACCCTCTGCATCTGCTGGGGCTCTGCTCTCTCACTCCAGCTCAATGTCTTCAAATGAAACACGATGCAATCAGGACACAAAGTCTGAAAACGGTGCCGAGGACAGGGACACTTCTGCAGGCCGACGGCATTAATCAGGCACCTCCGAAATCCAGTCCAGATCTCTCCATCTTCTGCGTGAGCGCAGTGGGAATGGAAATAAAAGACTCCAGAAAGCCACATACACATCCCCATCCACCCTACAGAACGATGTCAAGGAGGCCCAAGGGAGACACGGCGACTGGGAGGCGGGAGGGAGATGGAAACAGCAGGAGTGTCAGTCTCACTGGAAGAGAGATACACTGAAATCCCTGCTCTCATGTGTATACAAAAGCTGAAAATGACCAGGGAACGCTGCTTTAGCATTACTTAGCATTTAACAGCAGAATTCAGCACTCCTGAAACAAAACTGAAGGTCAACAGTCCCCACACCATATTTAACAAGTACAATAAATACCTGCATCCTCAAGCACACACTCTGATCAGTCCCTGTATGGACAATGTACCCGCAACAAACAGGAACACAGTCTTCACTGGAAATGTCATTGTATAACGTGATGTGCTTCACTCTAATTTAGAATGCATTGTAGGTCTTGTAATTCTAAGAGGAGGCAGGAGTGGTGTCGCTGCAATCAATTTTGTCTTCTAAGTAGTTGTTCTGTGGTGACATTTCAACGGTAATTAAATGCTTTTAGAAATATGAAAATGCTAGAGAGATAAGCAAGCTGCTATTGCTCTAAAAATGAAAAGTGAGTTATTTTTAAAGATGTAGTTAAGGCCCGTCCATCCATTTTCTATACCTGATTGTGCAATGCAGGGTCAAAGGGGGTCTGGAACCTATCCCAGAAGTTACAGGCGCAAAGCAAGGAACTGTGGGCGGAGACTCAAACCCAGGTCCTAAAGGTGTGAGCCAATGGTGCTAACCACTGGGCTACTGTGCCACCACATCATATTAAATGTGTCTGCTTTAATAAACAAATGGTTCCAGGAAACTTCCAGAAAACAGCAAGACAAATGACTCAGGAAGAGACAGAGGAACTGAATTGCATGCTGTATGAAATGTATCTAAAAAACAGTCAGTGCGCTGACCCTGTTTGCTGCCAGCACAGTGAAATGAGGGGAACGCAGAGCGACACGATGGGTCCAGGCTTCTCTCAGCTCGTCACAAGACCTGAAGCCACGGGGCAAAGCGGCTGCTGTCTGCACTGATCGCCATTCACTCGGATCCCTTATCGGGCTCCAGGTGCCACAGTCTGTCGTGCTGAAAGGTTGCACGACAGACGAAAAGCGACCAGTCTGAACGTCTGAATGCAGCCGTTTGTCAAATCCGCACCGCATTCCACTCCAAGGTTCAGACAAAAGCTGCTTTACGAAGCTGTAATTTTCATTTGCAACACAGGCCACTGGCATCAAATCATTAGAGAGAGAGAGAGATCATCAAAAACACCCCCTCACACACACGCATGTTTACATGCATCATACCATCAAAGAGAGAGATCATCAAACACACCCCCTCACACACACGCACACTTACACACATGACACCATCAGAGACAGAGAACATCGAAAACACTACCCAGCCCCCCACACGCACGCTCACACACGCAGACAGAATACACCTCCTCTTCCTCCTAAAAATAACAAAACATCCATCTTTGTCACAGGGTTTATGTGCATCAGGGCTTAAACAGGTTAGGAAGGAGGCAAACTGTGATTAAACTGGTGAGGGGCCGTGACCAAGAAGCCTTGGCTGTAACACTAAATTGTGCGGTGAAATCGCGGGGTCACATGAGAGTGTCAAGCGATTTCCGGCAGGTGTGGGATGAAGCAGCCGCGGGGGGGTGGCCACACCGCAGGACTGCTGCACGGCTGTGAGCCGCCGCAGCCTCGGAATGGAGGACTTTTCACTACTGGTGGGCCTCGAGCATAAGCATCCCATCTAACGGTACAACAACAGGCTCCCCTGTTGGATTTCAGTATGAACTTCAGCCTCAGCAGACTAGCACCTGCTGCCTGTGAGCATCTATGTGAGCCTCTTTTACACGCTTCCCCCCCCCCCCTCCTACGCAGTCTACAGCAACCTGTCACAGCTGGTTACAGGGAACGTCATCTGCAGTCACACTAAAGCAATTATCCTCCCTTGTTAAGTATCATTTATGTAGCTTTTATAGGAAATAAAGCAAGACCACTAAGATTACAGCAGCCAGGAAGCCTCACACCACGAACGCGTGTCTCAACCCGTTAGTGACTAAGCTTTTGCCTGAATCGAAACCCACTTTTTCTATTGCTTAGCCACGTGTCCAAGCAGAAAACAGCAGGTCCAAGGCAAGGACCAGCCTGGCACAGACAACAAATTACAGCTAAATAACGGAGATTAAAATTAAATTAAAAATATGAAACATTAATAAAAACAAAAGCCTCGTGCCTCCAGGGCTGGAAGCTTGAATTCCACCGCCTGCTCAATGTGTTTAGTTTTATTTTTTATTCTGGTTTTCTTAAAACACCAAACTAGGTGAATCAGTAACTCTAAGCTGCCCATAGTTAGTGACTGTTAGTATGATGGCTGTCCTGTGACAAACTGGTGTCCCATCCAAATTTTCCTGTGCTCGGTGGATTAAATAATGAATCATTTTTCAGGAATGGCTCTGGTTGACTGTAGTTGTAGGTAGGGCTGGGAGATGTCACATGAATATTATGTGCAACGATCATGTGCAATGATCACCAGGGCTTCAGAGGACGGCAGAAACACGTAGCGGGACACCAGCTTTTCTGTGCTATACGTGTTTTTTTTTACACCTTCAATTTGTTGAGCAGATGTTTTGTGACACCCAAAAGTTAGTAATCTGCATAAACTTGGTGTATCTTTATGTTTATTAAATTCGGTTAGTGGAGCACACCACATAATACTGCTTTGGTATACTATGGCTTGGTATACTTCAGTGCCATATGCACCATAGCGGGGCACACCACATAATACTGTTCTGGTATACTATAGTTTGGTGTACTTCAATGCGATATGCACTGTAGCGGGGTACACCACATAATACTGTTCTGGTATACTATGGTTTAGTATACTTCAATGCGATATGCACTGTAGCGGGGTACACCACATAATACTGTTCTGGTATACTATGGTTTGGTATACTTCAATGCGATATGCACTGAAGTGCCAGTGAAGAAAGGAACAGCTCAGCAGCCACGACAACCTTTAAAAGAGGAGATCTTTTGGTTAAATAAGGTAAAAAGACATCAGTGGTGTGCTGGAACTTTTTGCAGTTTGAAATCTGACACGGTTATTAAACATAAGGATATGAATTTATACTGATTACTAACTTTGGGGTGTCATAAAATGCCTCTTAATATTTTAGGTGCACTACTAATCTGCTTACCAAATTATAGATGTAAATAAACGTCTGTAGTACCGAAAGGCTGGCGTCCAGCCAGATGTTTTGCTCGTCATCTGAAGCCCCAGTGATTATTGCGCATGCGCGATATAATATTGATGTGATATTGCCCAGCCCTAGTTATATGGTATCACTGACACCAGATCCTGATAGATGCACATGGCCTAGTTAAACGGAATCCCCAGAGTTTATAGGATGATACAAAAAGGAGCACAAAATAATTGTTTTACCTGTAGAAATGTATCCATTTTTCTGCTCAATAAGGAAACACCACACAAACATCACTCTGTACAGAAAGAAAACTATAACAAACGATACCAAGTACAGCGACAGGCAAAAACAAGCCAGGCAGTTTAAGCTACACAGTAGGCTCACAAAGGCTCAATGTGAGGCCGCGTTTGGGCCTTACCCTCAAGCTGAGGCCCTATTTGGGCTGTACCCCGAGCTGAGGCCCTATTTGGGCTTTAGCCCCGAGCTGAGGCTCCATTTGGGCCTGAACCCCAAGCTGTGGTCCCGTTTGGGCCTGAACCCTGAGATGAGGTCTGGTTTGGGCCTTAACCTCAAATTAAGGTACCATCTGGGCCTTAACCCCAAGCTAAGGGTCTGTTTGGGCCTTAACACCGAGCTGAGGCCCTGTTTGAGCCTTAACCCCGAGCTGAGGCCCCATTTGGGCCTTAACTCTGAATAGAAGCTCTATAAAGCTGGAGGGTGGGCATAGCTCTGCCAGGGTGAGGGTCATGGGAAGGAACCATGGCTTTGTGGGCCCCCGGTGCCTGACCCACCTGCTGTACTGGTGAAGACATCTGCCTGGGCAGGGCTCTCAGATATTATGGTGGCAGCATCACCTGCCGGGGTCCTGTCAAACGTCAGCGTGCCAGAGGTGGTGATTTGCCCTGACGGCGAAACGGTGACTGGAGAAGAAACACCAATTAATCCAAATAACCCATGCATACACTAGCGTAGCATATGCTCATCAGCAGAACCTTAGAATAACTTTAGTAACTATTTATCTCTGTGCTAAAAGAATATGTTTTTCATGAAATCACAAGATTTTTAAATGACTGTTAATGAATTTAAAAAAAAAAATCACATTGAAAATTGCTAGTTGTGAAGCAGCTCTTCTGCATTGATGCCAAGTCACATGCATAACACCTGTAAGAGAAAAAACAGCTTTCGCCTTGAGAGAAAACGAAGCGTGAGAGCCAATAATAGGAGACGTCTCCTCCATGTTTACGCCTGCCTCTGCTGAGTTTACTCATTTGGCACAATCACTCGTGGAAGAGCGACAACACAAGAGCGAGTGTGCTACTCCCTGACACTCGGCTGTCTCATAGCCGCCGTGTAGCCGAGTCCAGGATACGCCAGGGCAGCTCTTTCACATTCCCCTCCGGCGTTTACGTTTGCCTTTGGGATGAGTTTCCAGGGTGAGCCCTGCTGCCAGTCTCACCTTCAAATGAATCCTTTGCCCTCTCTCGTTCTACAAACCCCTCGAGGGGTGAGGTCCTATCTTCACCCCAGGACTTGCCTCATTTCTCAAGCCATACAGTACATTCATTTGTTAGCTATATGTACCCAACCTAACAACTACCTCTTCACCAGGCTAAGGTCCAGAAAGCACTTCTGCTGTTTCAGTGAGAACTGAGAGGCCCATATGGATTCTCTATCCTCAAGTCATCAGAATACCTAACACTTAACTGACAGTTGTAATTTAACACCTGCTCCTTACTCATGCATCATGCACTTTATCTATGTTGCACATCTCTATTTTTTCTTTCTTTTCAGTATAACTTTACTACTCCTAATTTATTGCATATTTACTATACTTTAACTTTTATGTGTTACTGCTTTCACTGTTTTTTTTTTTTTTTAAATGGCGCAGTTGATCGCCTTGCATTTCACTGCAGGTTATGGCTGGACTATTTGCTTTGCATGTTACAAATAAAACCCCTGGATATATAACTAAGAGACTGTGGATGATGATATCAAAATAAAAGTGGGAGGAAAAACAGGGGTAGCCCACGTTTTAAGGACTTTCTGGACTTCGGATTTCAGTCAGGATCCCAAGTGATTTGGTCAGTTTGAGCCCACATTACATAGAGCTGACATTCTTCATAGCTCCCAGTCTGACTCATATGCCTGACGTCTAAGTCCATTAGCTACACTTACACCACAGTGGAATATAACAAAACCTTGCCCCAAGCTCCCTTAGCAAAGACTTAAGGTGATTACTTAAGACAACGGGATCTATCAGAGGGCTCCGAAAACTATGCTACCTCTTGGGGAATGAAATTTGTCAGTTGGTCTCAAGACCCAAATTATTCTGAACTGACGAAGGGCATCTAGCATGGAACGTAAGGGCTACACAGCGCCCTCTGGCTTTAGAATGGCAGACGTCTCTCCATGAAACGGTGACGAAAGCGTTGACAAGCCCAGCTGAGCCACAGACAGACTCCCTAGGCAGTTATTTCCAAACACAAATGGTTTTTTACTTCCCCATGAGAGCACACGAAGATGCGTGACTCTGTGTGTTAGAATGTGTGCACTGGCGTGTGTTGAGTGTGTGTGAGTGAATCAGTGTGTGTCCACTCACTGGTGGCACCAGGTGCGAAGGTGATGTTCTTTGGAGTCTGGATGTCCTTTTTCTCGGGGGTAGCAGGCCGGTCGCTCTCCTTCTTTCGTCTCTTGTAGGGGACAAACAGCCTCACAGGGCCGGTCTGTAAAAAAAATAAAATAATAATTAAATGGGGGAGGGGGGGGGGTGAGGGACATAGTGATCTCTCTCACTGCAGGAAACAGAATAAACCAAGAAAAAACACCAACAGCTTATACAGCCATAATCTTAGCGGTGATGCGGGCTCCTTAGAAAATGTCACACTTCAAGTGTTAAGGTTATCCGTGGGTTAACGTTAGCAGGTTGATTTGAATACTGCTGACCAGCAATGGGAGAAATAAGGTTTTGAACCCCCCCAGTGGATGGGATTACATAGTGCTGTCCATTACAATCCAGGTTTGTTGCAATGGCAACCTGTAAAATAATTGGTGTCTAGCCAGTCAAATAAGTTTGTGACTAATTTAACCAACGTTATTATTCCGCCCAATATAGGTCTTTGAAGCCTTGTTCTTCCCTCTGCTGCTGGGTCCACTGCAGGGTTTTTGCCAAAAAGCGCCGAAACAAACATCTCTAGAATCTGAAGATGAACTGCGACACAGTGTTCTTGCACAAAAAAAAAAAAAAAAAACGTGATTTAAAAATAGTGATAGTGAGACCGACATCAGAAATCTGGAGAGGTCTGACGCTTCATTATCGCGTGCCGGGCCGGGCCACACAAGATTCTCTCAATTTTATACCTGCCTTTTCCAAAAATGGATGGTCACAGAGACATGATATGAAAGGTGTCTTGCCTCCAGAAATGTGGCAGCTGCCACCCCCCATTAATCTGTAATCTGCAAACGAGCATCAAGCCCAGGGAGATAGCACACGCTTCCATTATAAAGAGCACAGCACATTTCTTTAGACCTAGAACCTTCAACTCGAGGCTGTTGGTCGCTGTGAGAAAAGGTCTATCAGGCCCTAACGATCACTGACGTGCGTGGAAGTGGATGAAGGGACAATACAATACAAGTCTGTTTTTCAGGTCAAGAAATTAAGTCACAGATTCTAATTACCATATTTACGTTCTCCCCTCTGAAAGACGCCCCATCCTTGGCACACTGAAAAAGTATTAGAGAGGAAGTATAAGGGGAAGGAAGGAATGTGTGGGACCAGAATTTTACATCGAGAATTGTTCATCGGTGCAAAGGCAGGCAGACAATCAGATTTTTTTCTGAAACTGTAATGCAAAGACAATCTTGCGGGTAATACGTTTGGACTGTTTTCTCAGAGAAAAATACCCATAACCTTGGAGAATGTCACCTCAACACAAGACTGGAGAAGTCACTTTTTAAACCAGGGTGGAAGCTATGCTCAGACAAATGTAAAATACAAAGAGTCTAGCCCCCTCTACTGGACGACAAGTCATAATGCAAAATGCTTACAAAAAAACGCTTACAAAGTTTTTATATGGCGTTAATTAGACAGAAACCATAGTTCAAAAAAAGTACATAAACAGATTAAAAATATTTAAAAGTTAATCAATGGGATAGGACAAAATTCTCAATTGCCAAACTTGTAGGTTCTATATAATCCTTTTTAGGGTTTATATATTTTTTCATTCTGCAATGAATTTTGTTCACCTGGGGTATCAGGGCCATCAGAAACGGACTCACCAAGGAAAGGTCATCGCAGCAGGCCGCACACGTGCAGGAGGCTGCGTGCGGGTTTAGGATACGCTCCTGAAAGAACACACTATGAGAAATACCTCAGACACCCAAACATGCAACCATATTCCAGGTCTGGACCCAGGTCCACACAGGAGCGAGGGGGCTCTGGTCCACCCTATGACGTCATTGTTACTGTTATTGTAGATGGATGGATGTTATTTCTCATACTATAAAGGGATCTGTGAAGCAACACTGTGCCAGGCTCACGCAGGGCAGCCCCCCCCCCCCCACCTGTATGAGGCACTGTAGCGGACGGCCTGCGTAGCGGATGCTCCTCTTCCAGTCCTTGCTGCTCGCCCGGCCCGACATGCCCTCAAACTCGGTGGGTGTGTACCAGCTGTTGTTATGCCTGATGCATCGCCCTTTCCCACCTGTGCTTCGTAAAGAACCAGGGATATAATATTACATCCAAGTGATTAATTAAAACAAACATTCTAATTTAATAAGGAGCCAAATTTGCAGTAAGGACACTTCTGATCAGCTTTTTGTCATGAATGCCTGAATCAGATGCAATCAGATGTTTAAAGTCTCCCCCATGTCAGCTCCTGCATGCCAAGCCAAGGCCGCGTGGAAGCACACCTGAGCCCAGCCGGTTCTTGTACAGGATGCCGCTGGTGTTTCGGCACCGCACTGGCAGCTCGTTGTCATACACCGAGGGGTCCCAGTTATACTTGGAGCCGTCCTTTTCGTGCTCGGGAGGCAGAGTAGTCGTGGGCATATGGGGACCTGCAGGGACAAGGTGGTCACCGATCGTTAACGTCGATGTTACTCCACAGAGGCCTCACCTATACTCTGTTTCTTTAACTACAAAATAAATGTATCCGCTATTTTTCATTAATTGTGTTTTATTGGGAATTACATCAAAATGTACTAAATATACCTGAAATTAAATAAAAATTCAAAGCACTTACTACTACAACTCTACTAAACGTTCCTAATTTCTGTCAACCTTGCATTAATAACTATAGAGTTAAGCATTATGGATTTATAGGCAAAACAGCAGTATTGTCTGTGTGGATATATATACACACACACACACCAGGGGTCATGGGTGTGGCTGCCCCCTTCAGTCCCGTAGCTCCCACGATGCTCCCGTCAGTGTGGACCACAATCAGGGTGGCCTTCTGGGTGTTGAGGCTGTCCGCAATCTGTAAGGTGGTCCTGCCGGTCTAGAAAAAGACAGAGAGCAGACGATACAAGAACCTGGACCCAGATCATCCTTGAGTAAATGGAGTCAGACTGTTCACACTCCAAAAATGACTATAAGCTGGTGAGACTGTCATCCAAGAGGAAGCAAGAACTACTTACAAGGACGTGTTCTGAGAGAGAAGCTGCTGTGGCGACAGATGTAGTAAATACGTTGTCCCCGGAGCCCTGGACATCCCCCATCGTCACTGTTGTCACTTCTGCTTAGAACATGGAAATTACACTTAGCTCATATCACCATCATGCACATACAGGTGCCTGCCGTCTCGGGGGGACAACTGGGGAAATTGTCCCAAGCCCTGGCCTAAGTGAGACGTGTTGTGCATCATGGGGGTTGAATTAAGTCTGTCCCAGGCCCAGGGGTAATGAGCTGCAAATATATCCAGGGTGTACCCCTGCTTTGTGTCCTTTGTTGCTTGGGATAAACTTCAGGCTAACCCATGACCCTCACCAGGATAAATGGTTAGAATGCATGGAACTGCCATAAACTCTTTCTTTTTTTAACAATATATATTATATTTTAACAATAACTGAGTTGTTGTAATGGATAAGTGTTCATATCTGTTGGGATATATTTTAACAAGTTCTCTTAATGCGTGAATTTCGCAAAAACATACAACGAAATTTCTGAGGTATGAAATATGTATTAAATATGAATTAAAAACATTAATTTGCATTCAGAATTAATCACACCGGTTACTCATAATAATGCATAAATAACCAACCCTGTAAAACTGAACCAAATTTAAATATTCCTACAATGCGTAACACTTTAAACACTGACTGACTGCAATATGCACTGTATTTTTTATATAACGCGCGCTGTTGTGCTAACTAGCTGACCACTTAGCAACAAATTAAATTTATTGCTCAGTCAGTTTAATACACTTTCACTAAGGTTAATTTTGTGAGAGTGCATAATCTAATTGTGTGGCTATTTAATTTCATATTTCATGCAGACACACAGCTGAGAAACAAACTAAGAACATCGGTGTACGGGCTGATTTATAATGGTGTTTAAACTAGCCTATGCGTACTGATCTCACAGTCACGCCGCCGCCAATTCGTAACTTTCCTGCAAACGCGGCCTCGTCTGGGTTCGGCAAGGACTCGGCTCCGATCTCGATGTTCCCCGGTTCCCCCATTACGGCCATCGTAGTAACTTCGGCCTCCGACTCGGTATCCGAGTTCTCCCCCTCCTCTCCCGGCACAACGGCGGTGGCTTCGGGCGCCTCCTCCAGCCCGAGTTCCTTCGCCGCCGATTCGGACTCGTCCATTTCTCCGGCCTCTGCCGATTTGGGCCGAAAGCGTCCGAGGGGAAAGTCGTCAGACTGCAAACGCGGCTTGGCAAATTAAGGACCGCAAAAAATTAAGCCACAAAAAAACACTCTCACCGAATCAGCCTGTTAAAATATAATATCATATACTTGTACGCCAAAATGAAAGTCGAAAAGCAATGGCTTAATGGCTTCCTTCTCCCTTTTTGTTGCTGCCGATGGCCCGACAGGAAGGAGGCGGAACGGAAATTGTCGAAAGAAAACGAAATGACACGAGATTTCTTTAACGGCAGTTTCTTTGTGTTTCTGCTCAGTTACAATTATTTTAAATCAAAATGATATAATTTATGCTAGCGGACGTTTTTATACACGGCACCTTTGCTACCTTGAATCAGTTTTATATGCACTATTTTCTCAAGTTCGCAATAGTAGAGACCTTACCGGTTGTCCATGTGCAAAGTCTCCAGGCTACCAGCACTTTGTTTTATAACATAGAGAAATGTAGATAATGACACTTATTCAGCGACATATCAAGGCACCCGTTTTATAAAATATTAAAGCTCATTTATCAGCTATTAAGTAAGCCTATTTGTTTGTCAGGTTCACAACACTCATTTATAAATTATATGTTCATGTTTTGGGTGTGTAGGGGACTTCACATTTATCATGAAGAAATTTATCATTCAGTGGCACAGAACTGCTAACATATAAGGACCTAAATTTAATAATTTCTTGGTGGGCTATGCAAAATGGGGTCTCTACAGTCTTATTTAAATAGGAGGTTTCCAACTTGCCAAAACAGCACATATATAAGTGACCCAAATCTTTAGAAATAGCTGTAAAGGGCAGTATTTTATTTTAGATGCTTTACATTCTGTAAGGTGTTTTCTTGTATTTACAACCCAGAACACCCAATTTTTTCCGGCCTTGCACTATGTTTGCACTATTGTCTGCCGCAATGCATGTGTATTATACATACCATATTTAATTGCCCAGATACATTCATATTTCTATATCCTGCTTCCAACCATCCATTTTCTGTAACTGCATGTCCTATTAATGGTCGCAGGAAATCTCAAAGACTAAGGCGCAAGGCAGGGAACAACTCCAGGACGGGCTGCCAACTCATTGCAGGGCACATTCACACACCATTCGCTCACATTTGCACACCTGTAGGCAACTTGGTAACTCCAATTAGCCTCAGCATGTTTTTGGACTGTGGGGAGAAACCAGAGTACTCAGAGAAAACCCCATGATGACATGGGGAGAACATGCAAATTCCCCATATCCTGCTTATATGTTCATATTCATATTTATTCTTATATGAATTTTTCCTAAGTGTTGTCCTGTGTCCTGTAACTGAGTGTCCTTGTCTTCTTACCCTCTGCCAGGCTGCAGGAAACAGAAGTAGCCATGTAATTGTACTCGGTACTGGTATTAGTACAAACAACAGCAAACCCTTCAAATCCTTTGAATCCTTTAATAGTGTGCAGCTTTACTTTATATTTGCAATTATATTGACATCACAGTAGCCAGTAACTACATTTGTACTTTTAAAAGTAGAGTCAACCAAAATCATTTGAAATGTTTTAATAATGAAACGCTATATGGTGCTCTGGATTTGTATATTAATAATACTGATTCCAGTTATAAACTTACTTATTACATGTCCGTTTTCCATGTAGAAATGGAAGATTTCTGGCAGATAATGCCCATACATATCAGCGTAATTACTCTGTCCATTTGATTTATTTAATCAGTTGCACCAGTAGGGGGGGAAGGAAACTGGAGTACCCGGAGGAAGCCTGTTCAACACGTGGAGAACAGGCAAACATGTAACACTCCACACGCAGAACAGGGGGAAGATTCACCTCTGTAACCCTGGCAACAGTACAGCCACTGAGCCACCATGCTGCCCAATACTAAAAAGAGGATTTCATGTTATTTCTCATATTTGTCCCCAAAATACCTGATGTTACACTAAACAAAACATTTTTACATTGGGAAAATAATAAAATAATAATTTTCCCGGCTTCTGAAACATAGGACATCACAGTTCTGAAAAGGTTTTCAGCCTCTCAAAATCTAGTCACATAGGTAGCATTAAGTTTTACCTTTTCATAACACCAGAGTTTAATGGGAATTATAAGAAAAAGAATCTGTAAATGACCCAGAGGACCCTCTTTTCTTTGTATTTCACATAATAAAGAACTATTGTATTGATGAAAACATCAATTGATAGAACAAAAACAACAAGAGACGATACAAAGCGATAGCAATACGAAGTCATGAGACAGCTGGTGATATTTATGATCAAGAAAAATGATACAACAGGGCTGCCAACTCTCTTGCATCAGGCGTGACACTCATGCTTTCAGACTCTCACTCTCGCACAAGAAATCTTCTGGCTAATCTGTATTATTCCATTAAAAACCTAAAGTTAGCTACAACAAAAACATTGGGGTAGTTTGCAAACCCTACAGACTATTTACAAGGTAATAAAACTCTTACATACATGTAAGTGCATGTGTATGTATTTTGGCCTAGGTTAATAATTAATTATTATCTCAAATTGAAAATCTCACTCCAGCCAGCTGACCAAAGAGTCCACCCTGAATCAATGTTAATGATCATCGTTAAATCATTGTTTCAATATCTGTTATATTATGATCTTCACTTCCTGCAACACTTCATCTAAACTTTCTTAATATAAAGCCTTTCCCTCTGCATCATTAATATATATATATATATATTAAATATATTGAGTAATAGTCCAAGTTTCAAGATGGCGCAGCCAAGCTCAGACACCCTCCTGATCGCTCTGATCAGGCTGTATAGAGATTATGTACAGGTGAGTATGTTTCATATATTTTTTATTTTATAAACCTCTTGAATCTTGAATCTAATAACTTTTCAGAATGATATATTTACTGCCTCTGACACTCAGCACTTGATGAGACCCACCAAAGGGATCAGCCTTGCTTACTCTTCTGTACCAGAAAAACAATAATTATCATATATGACTACTTGACCCCAAATAATCTTTTAATATGATTTAAATGGTATTAAAATAAAGCCTCCCAATCAAAGGAGCAGGTGGTGTGCTGTCTACCTGTCTATACATTAATATAGTCAGTGAGTGTCAAGTTTTCAATGCCAGTGCAATAATGGCATGTAAAACATTCCCGTTGCTTGTAAGAAATATTGTATAATGTAACACTAAAAATGTTACAGGTGTGTATAAGCAGTCTGTTCCCCACTCAGATATAATTCGAAAATGAAAGTGACAGACAGTTGAATGCAAGCCATTGCTCATAGTTTTTAAGTCTAAAGGATTATCTTTTTGGGGCGTGTGGTGAACATATCAAATGGATTTTCTGATCTATGCAGAAAAAAACGGCGTTATTGAGAAACGTCCTGGTACTGGAAACGTTAAGACATAAGGAAAACTTCATCTCCCAGAATGCACCTCTGTAAAACCCCACTAATCTCATCATCCCAGAGCTTTTGAGTTCCATGGATCAGAGCCGAAGAGTGAAGATAAGCGAATCGTATTATTGCTTTGGGATCTTGCAAGATTTAGATCGAGCTGGGGAAAAGGGCTGAATCTGAGACAGAGCAATGAAAATGGACTTAAATACCATTATAGAGAAGATGAAAACTGGCGAACAAGATGCCGCATTGATGGCATTGCAGGCGTATAATAAGGAGGTAAATGTGCGTTATTAACTTGCAATTAATTATATTGTGTTTAAAATTCATGTAGGTTATAAATTACCATAAATAAATACACTGTGGAGAATTATATATGCATATATACAAATCTTACAGCAACTAAGCAAAGCAGATTAATTACTAAGAAATTGGCACGTATTAAGTTCCAACATCATACTGACCCAAAATTAACATTAAACGAAAAGTAGTCTTCATTAAAAGAATTGTGTTGCCAAAACATATAATCGACCGCAAACGACAGGGATATCGCGTTATTTGTTAATTCTACATTAAGCAACATGTCATCGTAGCTGCATATCATGCGCTACATGTAAACATGTTTTGCACAATGTATGATCATTAATGTAAGAGACATTGTGTTTATTCTGAGTTTTTTTTCTCTCCTTGTTCTTGCCTTCGTCAACAGCTGTTTCCATGCCGGTTTTAGCCTTCAACGCAAGGGTAGATGCATTATATAGCCTATAATAAACTATAGATGATGTAGTTATCGGTGCTGTCATGTAACACAACAATGTTTACTGAAATGAACAGAACTGTAATAACTACACGTAGGCTAACAGTCGTGTCAATAGCCTATGTATTTTTGTGCCGCCTTATTGTAAAAAATTAATTCTGCCGAAGCCGCATAAAGGTTTTTAGAGTAGAATCGGTGTAACTTGTTGAACGACGATACGGCACGTTATGTGCGCTAGTAAACAGTACAGCAGGACATGATTTTTTTAAAAATTATTATCTATATATTATAATGTTTATAATCTAAACTCTACTTGTTATTGTGGCGGTACAGGCTACAGCAGCGGTGCCTTGATGACAAAATGAGTAGCGTACTGTTACCATACTCTTACTACGGTATCCTTTGATTAACTCGGTTTCCAACTCTTTGATTAATATATCTGTAATAACGGGAGAAGCAGTTCAAGAAATTGTCATTCTAATGACTCCTAGTTAATTTGCAGCAGCATCATGAGGATGGTGGATATGTTTTGCACATGGGAATAATAAAATATTTTTAGTGGCATATTGTAATATGAAAATCTAATTTAAAATTGTTTTAACTTTTAATTAAAAGGAATATTCCAAAGAAATTGATCTTATCTGTGCTATAATGGATGGGCACCTTTATGGTTGCAAACTATGTCAGTTTTCCATTGCGGGCTTCATTCTTGGAAATCCTGTATCTACCAACAGAGAGAAATGACTGTTTGAAACTTGATGTCACTGGGGCCATCCATCTGTCCTTTCATCCGTGTGTCTGTGCATGTACCTTTGAGTGTGTGGTGTCACCACAATTGGATTAAGCTGAACGATCAGCACAAATAATTCCTCGGGCCCTACTAAATCCTGCACGCCTGACCGTCACCCGTTTTAGCCCAGTAAGTGAGCTTTTTCATCACGAGCATCCTGTCAGGTAAATGGTTTTATCAAATTTTGGATGCTGCCGGGATCCAACTGATGCCTCTTTTATAGAAACCTCCCTGGATAGTCAAGGACTATGCAATGAGACAAGCCAATGTTCATTAGGAGGTTACTCAGTCTGTGGCCTCGAAGTATTTTTCTGACTCACACGCCATTTCCTGTTTGCTACACATTCAGCTCAGGGACAAAAGTGGTGAGCCTCATTAATTACCAATATAACGGCAAAACTTCTCATTAAATAACCTGACTGAATGATTTAATCCACAAACAAGCAGCAATTTACTGACAGATGGTTTTCTCTTTTTGTGTGTCTCTTTTAGAAAAGCCAGTGCTTCATGTTTAACACTAACGAACAAGAAGAGAGAGAGGTATGGATATATTCATCGAAATTTCCATTTATGTGCAAGCAACATATTTCATTTACAGTATCAGAACTCTTGGAAAAGGGAATTTGGCCATTAAGCCTGTTTCCACAGAAACAGGTTCTGAGTTTAAGTCAGTCTGAAACACATCATATTTTATAACTGCAGGAACATGAAATGTTATAAGATGGACAGGACTAGGGAGTCCTGCACATGTTGGCACTTCTTGTGGAAATCATAATCAAATAAGGGTTTACAAATATGTTTTTAGAATGAGTACTGTAATAACTATCAATGGTTTCAACTGTTGATTATTTTTTAACTCTCTTCTCATCTTTACCCCTTTCTTGCCTGCCTTTGTGTTAGGATGGCCAGTTGCAAGAGGTATAAAAGTAGAAGATGTTTAACGTTGTAGTTCAGCGTGGCTGTAAAACCCAAGGCTTATTCCAGAATGACAGTAAGGCTTTACTTTCAGTGAGAAAATGGCGAATCATTCAAAATCTATGGGAATACTGACCACGATTGGCTTTTTTGAAATTGTGAATAAGAACCAGAGGGTTTTATTACACAGCAAAATGAATAAGCCCTAGGTTTACGTTATATTTTCTATGTTTCAAATAGTCCAAGCTAATCTATTTATAGGCTCTATGGAAGTTTTATAATGCGTCTTTACACAATGGAATTGTTAAATTTTGTTTCAGGGTATTTTCATTATCAAAACATAATTGGAGCACGTTTCCTCTGTAGCTAGCAAAAGATTTAGCTGATTTCTGTTAACGCATAAGGAGCGACCCACTCTTTCATTTTCAGCACCTGTCTCAAAATCTACTCCTGACACATTCGGCCCGTCAGCTACTGTCACCCGCACTGAATGATTGTCATTCATCTGCAGTTTTTAATTCCCCTGTGCACTAAAATCCAGAGGATGAACAAAATGATTACTAGGTTAACCAAAGACAGGATACTGTCTACTTGGTCTCTCTAATCTAGGAGTTTAAGCAAAGCAGCTTAGCAGATCTGGCTTGCTTTGGGTTTACATCAGTAGGGAACCTGGATGCCCCACAAGTCGTTTCTGGCTTCTTGCCTGGCTTTTCTGGAATGACATCAATGATTTACAAAGAGCCAAGCAGAGCTGGATGTCCTAGCATTTTATTCTCTATACCTGTTGTATTGTTCTCTGTGGTATTGTCTCTTCTATGGCTTGGAATAACACATCCACAAACATCAATTAAACCAGAATCCACAGATGACAGGTGTGTAATTGAGCAAAGGAGAAATGTAAATTCTAATTTACTACAAATAACCCTCTAATCAATATCTGCTCCTCTGTTCCGCATGTGCTTAGTGTGACCACAAGAAAAATGACTGATCTTTCCAATACAAGATAAGTGCAGACACTGTGTCCCCACAAAACAATTTACAGTCTTTATTGAGTTGCACATTTTACTGAAGTCATTCATTATAAATGCTTTGCTGAAATTTCCTGCAGCAGAGCTTTATCTGGAACAAGAGTAGTTAACTGTTCTGCCATCTTCAGTCCCATACAGCAACGATACAAGTTAGCCTGAGAAGAAGAGAAAGACAGACCAAGGTTTAGATTTCCTTGGATTTCAAAGCACTTCCTGTCTCCTTCCCCAGTCATGGTGGAAACAGTTGCCAAAAAACCCTTCTGAAGCTTCAGGCAGTCTGTTTACTAATCACAGAGCTAAATTTCCAATCACAGAGCTAAACTTCATCAATCCAATGGTCCTGCCCACAGTACCCTTTTAGAAGCTAATTGTAATTTTTGCAACAATTTCAACAGCCTTTGAGAGAACTCAAAAATGACAAGGCTTGGTGTTTTGATATTCACGGCATTACACCGGTTTTCACTCATAGCCAATCAGTGCTTAAGATCAGCACTGAGAAGGTGAAAATGCACAGAAATTTCATCATCCAGTCTCATCCAGCAATGCAAAGCAGCAATACTGATGCAGCATGGGTACTGCTGGTTTGAAAGGAAGTTAGAAGCTCAGCATAAAGAATGATAGAGCTTTAAGATTTAGAACAGATTGTATAAGATGCTCTTATTAAGTGAATCACTTCTGTAGGCCATTGAGACGGTCTGTCTTACTTTCACCATATTCTTAACAGTCAAAGATCTGCCCTGACTAAACCTTAAAGCCAGTGCAGTGGGCACTGTCCGCATGAATCTGTCACTAGGTGCTTTCATGATCGAGTCCTTAAATAGCATATTGCCCCCAGGTACAACTGCTGTGGCTGTGGGACATTATCACTGAAAGCTCTTTGTCCCTAAGCATCGATCTGACATCGATCTGAGCCATTTAAAAACAAGGTCTTTGCCCAGCCTCCTGCCATCTCTACTTAGCTCTTCTCCACTTCCCTTGTGCTGGTAGTAGGGATGAGGGGGATGGTTACCACTGTGCTTGTGCCCTCAGCGGCTGGGGGAGCTGGTCCTGGGCTTCCTGGGGAGGGACCTGCAGCCGTCCTGCCAGCTGGCCTGCCTGGAGACCATCCGCATCCTGTCGCGGGATAAGAACAGTCTGGGGCCTTTCGTCACGAGAGGCGCGATCCAGACGCTGAGTCGGCACGCGGGGTTGGCGCACAGCGAGGGCGCCACGCTCGAGATCCCCGACCTGGACGTGATCGTGGAGGCCCTCAAGTGCCTGTGTAACGTGGTCTTCAACAGCGAGGCGGCGCAGGAGGCTGGAGCCCGGCTGGGCCTGATGGGCAGCCTGGCCGAGCGGCTGAAGCAGTGTCGCGGGCGGGAGTGGAGCCACGAGGTACGCTTCTTCGACCTCCGGCTGACCTTCCTGCTGACGGCTCTCCGTGTGGATGCCCGCGTTCAGCTGGCCCGTGAGCTGCGGGGGGTCAGCCTCCTGGCGCATGCCCTGGATGCCACGCTGGGCCTGCGCTGGGTGGATACCTTCGAGGTGGCACGGGTCGATGCGGAGGAAGGGACCCCGCCCCCGTTGCTCGGCCGAGAGGAGACAGAGCGGACGATGGAGATCCTCAAGATTCTCTTCAACATCACCTACGACACCAACCGCCGCAAGGTAGACGAGGTGAGACTCGTATGGTAGCATCCATCTGCCCATTGCGTATAAAATCCCACATTGTGGGGATCTTCTCCTACATTGTACTTCTGATTAGGTTTTTGGCTCTTCATTTCCTTGGTAGGAGGAAGCGGCCACGTACAGGCACCTTGGAGCCATCCTCAGACACTGCCTGATGAGCTCGGCTGACGGGGAGGACCGCACCGAGGATTTACATAGGTGGGGGAAACACAGATGCGACAGTCACACTTACCACCATTGTGGGGTTTCTTATAAAGGGAGCAATTTGTCACCATTTATAGCGTTTGTCTTTCCTGAAAATTGGAACGGAGGAAATTGGATGTCTATGGAGATTTGCTCGCGAGACTCTATTATGCAGTCTCAAAGGGAATATTCCCAATCGAAATATGATTGCCGTTATAAAGAGCACACAGAGTTGGCTGGGGTTTCGGTCGTGCTGAGGAACCGCGTCGTCAGCACCGCCGAGGGGGGCCCACAATCCCTCACCGACAGCTTTGCATTATTTCCTGTTTGCCAAGCGATGAAGGAGTGAGTCAACAGATAGTGAGTCAATGGAATCCAGTGCTGTGGCTTTTCTGTGCTCGCTGTATTCGTGCCGCTTGTCTTTAACACCAAGACCCGTTTCACACATTTGTTGATCGGTCTAGAATTTCTCAGAATTCAATTATAAATTAACTATATTATGTTTACCTAAAACCTTTCACAAATATTAGCAATTTGGTCTGATGACATTTCTATCAACTGGTATGAAGATAGATATTTTTTATATTAAATCATCATTTATATTGAATCGCAGAGCAGAAAGCACAAAGTTGATTTAAAGAAACTGGATAAAAATGCTTTCTGCAGTTCCTCAAATGTGATCTGTAAAAATAAAAGATCCCTAGACATTTACAAAGACTGACTCACTGGCCATTTGCTTCACGGTAATAGCCTAAAAAATTAGCCGGTGGAGATGCCTTGTTGGATTAAACTGGCCTGAGCCAAACATGCAATGCCAGTGTGTGTGTGACCTTGCTGAAGTGTGACCTCGTCTCCGTCCCCCTTCACAGCCACACGGTGAATCTGCTGGGGAACCTGCCACTACCTTGTTTGGATGTGCTACTCATTCCCAAGGTGCAGCAGGGTTCCATCGAGTACATGGGCGTCAACATGGATACCGTCAACATGCTACTGGAGTTCATGGAGAAGAGGCTGGATCGGGTGAGCATCATCGGTGACAGCAGAGTCCGGATTCGCTGGAGGCTCTTTGCACATGACAAGCGAGTGTGTCGTAACCAAAAGGCCAGGCTTCCGACTTTGGTCAGGTGGCTGGGGTGAGATATTCAATTTGAGACAAGTTTGCACACACTAGCGCATGAATGTACATATATGTAACAGTTTTATTACCTAGTTGTAGGGTTTGCAAATTATTCCAACGCTTTTGGTGTGGCTAATTTTAGGTTTATAATGGAATAATATAGATTTGCCGTAAGATTTCTTACGTGAGTGTGAGTATCTGAAAGCATGCGTGTCATGGCAGATGTGAGCGAGTTGGCAGCCGCGGTAAGGCCCTCAAGGATTAGTGCACTCTAGTCTGATTGCATGACCCATTAAGTCACAGTACTTTGGTAATATGCTTATTACAACACTGTCTTCATTTTCAGTATTGCTATCACCATCTCCCCAATCCTTAGAGAGGAACTTTTAGTTATTTATCTGTGCAGACACCTGCAAGGTGCTTGTGGGTTAGGAGCTAGGCTGTCTGTTGTTGTTTTCAAACGTATTATGAAAGATACCTTAACGCCCTAAGGGGATTGCCCAGGTAGATCGCAGCTGGCCATGTTACCAATGCAGGGTGGTAGATTTATGGTTGCTGTCACGCGTCTGGCGAGACACTCAGGCTTTCAGACACTCACTCAATGTCAAATCTATATTATTCCATTATAAATGTAAAATTTGCTATATCAAAAGCACTAGGGTAGTTTGCAAACCCTACAGGCTATTTATAAGGTAATAAAACTGTTACAGACATGTAAATGTGTGTGCAGACTTGCCTGAATTGAAGATCTCATGCCAGTCATCTGACTGAAGTTGGGGACACCGTAGACAAGCTAAGACAGTCACATTGGCCGCAGGGCTGCTGACAGTTTCCATCCAAAGACTGGAGCATAAAACTAGGAACAAGTAGGTACAGCTTCAGGAGTTTGGTGTATGATCACCACCATCAGAGCTTAAGCCACTGCCTATGAATTGGCCATTTCTGCCATTTTCTGCAGCAGATCATAAAATGTATTTTTTTGTGCTGTATGTTTTATCTCCAGGGAAAAAAGGTGAAAGAGACCCTTCTACCTTCCTTGAATCTCCTGACAGAGAGTGCCCGCATCCACAGAGAGACCAGGAAGTTCCTGAGGATGAAGGTGGGGCCTACTACACTATCCCCCACCTACTCCGTGTATCTGGCTGTGAGTAGATACGGCGTGCTATTGTGAGTATGCTTGTTTTTCTTGTGGGACCGTGCACGTGAGCAGGTGCTGCCCCCACTGCGCGACGTCAAGAACCGGCCCGAGGTGGGCAGCGCCCCGCGTAACAAGCTGGTGCGTCTGATGACCTACATTGACACCGACGTCAAGCACTGTGCCGCCGAGTTCCTCTTCGTACTCTGCAAGGAGAGCGGTACGCAGGTGCCGCCTTGGTTCAGGACTCGCGGTCGCATGGCAACGGTGACACCTCTTCCAGTTTAGAAAAGAACTGGTTTTCTGTCACACACAAAATGCATTTTGTAAATGACACGCCCAACTTCTGAGAGTGATCAGCTGACGGCTCAGTGGACAGCACTGTAACCTCACACCTCCAGGGTTTGGGGTTTAGATCCCACTCCTACTGTGTGTGTGGTGATGCTTTTCCCATGATGCTTTGCATACTCCAACCTCCTCCTATAGTCCAAAGATATGAATTTCACGAAATGACACCTCTAAATTATCCGTAGTGTGTGGCCTGTGATGGACTGGCACCCCAGCCTTGGGAGGGCAGCACAGGGTTCCCATCAGCCAACTTTCCTTAGCACAGGCAGATTATTGCACAGTTCAGTTTCAAGAACACGGACAATGATGTCGGATTAAATTGCAGGGGGGGTCTGCGGTTTAAAATTTTTGTAAAACAATTCAGTTTTGTAAGTGGGTAAAATTATAACAGTTGCCCTGATATGTGATATGTATTATGGGATACATAACATAAATGATCATTTTCCAGTTCTGTGTTGTGGCACTTTTTACTCAGCTGTGTGTTGGATCCCCCCCCCCATCCCCACTGTAGTATCTCGGTTCATCAAGTACACGGGCTACGGCAATGCAGCTGGACTGCTGGCAGCTCGGGGCTTGATGCGAGGCGGAAGTAACCCCACCCATTACTCTGAGGATGACGACAGTGACACGGAGGAGTACAGGGAGGCCAAACCCCAGTGAGTGACATCACATCATGTGTGTGTAAGGTTGGGGGGGGTCGGGGGGGGTCACTGTACATCCAGGAGATACTGTTGGATCCCGGAAGTTCCTGTCATGACGTCATTCTGCCTCATCCTCCTTCCCCGTCAGCATAAACCCTGTGACCGGGCGCGTGGAGGACGAGCAGCCGAACCCTATGGAGGGCATGACGGAGGAGCAGAAGGAGCTGGAGGCCATGAAGCTAGTGAAGATGTTTGACAAGCTGTCCAGGTGAGAGGACACCTCCATCCCCAGGGCAGCCCAACCATATGGACTCGCTGCTTTTGGCTTCCTTTCTGATTCGACAGACACACTTTAATCTTCAGTTATTGGTCAACCTGTTATTTAGGTCATTTTTAACCACCTGGGCACAATTTGAGACATCAATGAATTCTGTGTGGTGTCCAGAAACACATGGCCCTCATGACAATAACAGCACTTATTACACTTCCAGTAATTTATCCACATTCTGACTATTCAGTAGCCATTCATCCTCCGAACACTAGGGGCAGTGTCTTTAGGGTGATTGGCTGACTGCCGGTCCATGCCAGTGCGATAAGGACACATGCTCTAGGATTACGGGCGGTGCCACAAAGAGCTGCAGCATGCCAACAGGCACGCAGGCACCCCTTCATGGCCCGTGCCCTGCCTCTCGGTAAGAGCCAATCGACGGGCTGTGGCTGACAGGGCCTCAAACAGCACATGCGCACAAACCCACCCCCTCCCCTTCCATACACCAACTCTGTGGGCTCCAGCCCCTAACTGCTAAAAATATCCGCATGCATTTCTGCAAGGAGACGTAAGTACAACCCTGTATGCCTTGATTTATGTGCCCCCAAGTGGCTCAGCCAGTGCGGCAGGTCTTTTTCAGCCCTAACGCTTCAGTTGTCACGCTTGTTTGTTTCGTGGCAGTGCTGCATTCCCAGCTTCCTCGGGGGGGGGGGGGGGGGGGGTGTTTTCTGGCCAACTGCTTCTCAGCGCCTTCCTACAGACTCGTGGGCTTGACAGTGTCCGGTCACCAGGAGGGAAGGAAAAACAACACTCCCTAAGTTGCTGCTGGGCTCCTCTCTAGATCATGTGAACTGTCATGTGAACTGCAGTGTGAAAAATAGGCCATCTGCTCGACGCAGTTCCCTCTCTGGACACCAGAGGTCAGAGCACTGAGGACAGTGGAACCCGAAAGCCTATGTCTTCCTTTCATGGTGGCCAAGCAAGCATTCTGTGGTGTTTTGAAAATGAAAAATTACTTAGAATAGACATAATCTGGCTAGATACAGGCTTACATGACTTAATACACGACTTAATCAAGTTGTGACGTTATATTTGCAGAGGTCATGTGATCCAGCCCATGAAACTGACAGCTGATGGACAAATGACTGCCCTGGAAGCCGCCGACTTAGAGATGCTGAAGCCCCAACAACCAAGGCCACACAACTCCGTCAGTGATGAGGACAGCAATTAGGAAGTGGGGAGGGACTCGGGGTTTTTTCCTCAAATAGATCAGATGCTGTATTAGGTAGAGCTATGTAAAAAAAAAAAAAAAAGATTTACACTGTTGTGCTTATGTCACCAGCCTGGAGACTGGGTTCTGAACTCTTGCACAGCGTGAATATGACTATCGGACAAAAAGATACTAGATAATCTCTTTTTCGCTGTGCAAAAACTGTTTGTTTCCAAGAAATCACCTCATTTTCAGAACAGACAGAGAAATGACACGGTAAAAAGTGTAACACCTCTGACCCTCCCCCTTTCCCCTCTTACTGTGGTCCCATTGGCTAAGCATGCCCAGTGCTGTGCTCCCATTGGCTATCCACAAGCAGCACTTTAGAACAGCACTGGTAATTCAACGTCCAACTTCTTTTTCTCTTATTTTGCATAGTTCGTAAATGATCAGGTTTTACTGAGTTTAATCTTCAGTTCAGATACATGAATAAATTAATGAAGCAGGTGACACACAATCCACAATTTAGCCCTTTTAAAATGAGTTATCGATTTACTGTTTGTTTCTTGAAATATCACAGAACAAAAACGTTTAATATTTTTAGTGAAGTGTTGAACTTAAGTCATCTCAGAAGAATTTCATTTTATCAAAATGTTTTTGGGAGCTGTATTATTTAGAATAATTCAGGAATTAGGCAAAAACTAAAGGCAGAAAGATGAGGAAAATATAGTAAAAGACAAAATATCTGTATTTATGTTTAATTGAAACTTTTGAAAAAAGTTTCAGAATTGTCACCTCACATTCCTATTTTCTCCTGATCTAATAAAAGATTAAAGCAGCAGTTTAAACATTTATAATGACCAATTCTGCATTTATTTGGATGAAATGCTACTGAAGGAGAGAAACATTCTTGGTGGAAAGTTATCAGTAATTACTAATAATTTAAAGCTGGACCAAGCAGGTGCATCCCTGCTGCGGAGATGGGGCTGCTTCAGCTCTTCCCACATCATGGACAGTCGTGTCACATGCACATGTCACAGGTGTGCAGGGTGACAGCATGGCAGGCTCAGACACGGAGGGAGCTGGCCAGTCCAATGTCCTCCTGTCTGGGGCTCAGAGAAGGATGCTTGGTGATTGGTTGCCATTTGTAGGTAGCACAAATGGACAATATAGATTGTGTAGGGCAGAGTTTCCCAATCAGGCCCTCAGGGACCCACAGACAGCCCATGTATTGCGGATTGTCTGGCAAGGAGCTGGGAGGGAGCAAAAACATGGATCGACTGTGGGTGTCTGAGGATCGGATTGGGAAACGCTTGTGTAGGGCTTCCCAGGGGACTGAATACAGATACAGAAAAATTCAAATATCCTGTACATCCTTAGCCTCGATTAGGACAAATGAGAAAAGTGCATTTAGTCACGAACATTATTTCCTTGGTTTCCTCAGCTTTTCAAGGTCTTTATTTACATATGGGATTCTATATTAAATACTCATCAGTATAAACCCCATCTTGCTCTCGATGAGACACACAGGCACATATACAGGGGAGAGCGAACTTGGGGGTCAGAGCACAGGGTCAGTCAGTGAGCAGCACCCCTGGAGCTGGGGGTTAAGGGCCTCACTCAAGGGTCCAAGGATACAGTATGTGTTAGCCTCCTGAACTACACACCACTCCCTATAGGAACATAAGTGTGTCTAAACATGAATCTTCTACCAAGGGACTGCATCACTAAGCAGGATTTCTTTGTGAGCCAGATAACTTGTTGGATTTAAGGTACCCCAGTTTAAATGGACTTTTTCCTCATTCACTTACACTTAGCCCAGACTACCTTAAATCCAACAAGTCATCTGGCTAAGCAAGAAATCCAGCTTTGTGATACAGGCCCCAGGTTCAACTAACAAAATAAAACAAACAGCCAAAAACTCAAGTTTCACAGCCAACAGATTTTCAGTTCAGGTGAACTGGTGAATCGAAAATGGCTAAAGTGTAAGAGTATCACATGATGGGCTGGCCATCCATTCAGGGTGTGCAGCACCTTAATGCCTACATGCCTTAATAGGTGCATGTGTTTGTGTGTGTGTGTGTGTGTGTGAGCATCACAGCTTTTGATTGCTGTTAGTCATCAGCGAATCCAGCTCCTCCTTGCAGTCCATAGCGTCCACCAGCCTGCGGACTCCATCCACGATGTCACCCAACTGGATCACGTCGTTGTGCCGAGGGGAGCGGCTGGCAAAGGGCCCTACGAGATCTCGATTGATCAGGAGACGCGGCACAGAGTTGCGAACGGCATAGGCCAGGCTGGCAAAAGGCTCCACCTGCACCAGATCATTACAAGATGGTATCAGTTAATGGCTGAGGCCCCAGTGCTCACAAATCATGACCTACTGCCGTCTCCAGAACTTTCTTTATAATGTGAACTTCAGGTTTTCCATTTTCTTCCTGAACTCCACGGTTCTTTGACTGGTCGGACTCACCTCCAGTGCTGTCCCCATGACGATGAGTAGGTCAGCGACGGGGAAGTCGGTGAGGTACGAGAAGAACTGGAGAGGAAGCTCCTCACCAAAGAAAATGATATCGGGCTTGATGACACCCTTGCAGGTAGAGCACTTGGGGACTGTCCCTGCCATTATGCCAGGCTGTCAGGCATCAGGAAGAAGAAGTAGTTATTAAATATTTTTAAAAATATATACAAGTACAGAATCAAGTAAGTCATTTTAATTATTTAACTCACAATTTGAACATTTAAACTCCACACTTGATTTAAAAGCTGATTTGAATGATTTTATTAATGTTCTCTTACGCCTCCCGGTAAAAAATGACTGCATAACTACATAGGTGGAAAAACGAGTTCGATGTTTGTGGTTATTTTTAAACATTCTCCATGGGCCCTGTACTGCATAAGCACTGGATGGTGGACAGGTGGGATAATGCCACTGCAAAAGATCATTTTTACGAATCCCAGATTTCGCCTGAAATAGGCTTGGTGCCAGGGCGTCCCTCTACCCAGCGACCAGCATCCGAGGGCAGTACAGCACGGGGGCAGTACAGCACGGGGGCAGTACAGCACGGGGGCAGTTCCACACGAGGGCAGTACAGCACGGGGGCAGTACCGCACGGGGGCAGTACCGCACGGGACACTCACCCGCAGCTCCTCGCCGGGGTATTCCTTCCGGCAAACAGTGCAGGTGGCTGTGGAAAATGTTCCGTGGGCTTCCACCAGCTTCCGAGGAGGTATCCCAGCCACTGCAATCACACGGCATATTTTACACACATGGCTTAGGTGGGAATTCCACTGAATATTAGTAATACAATAAATGGTTACTGACACCCAGCACAACAAAAGTCCAAAACAGATAAATTAGCGAGCTGTTTTACTGCTATCTATCTGTCTATCTATCTGTATATCTACCTATCTATTGGAGCACACGCCTGCAGACTGCGGCAGGTTACTCACTCCGCTCCAGCCCGTCGATGTTCTGCGTGTACAGCTTCAGCAGCTGGCCTTTATCATGCAGGAGTCGCACGAAGTAATGCGCCACGTTGGGCCGGTAGTTCCCCGGGTACAGCTCCTTGGCCAATGCGAAAAAGGGGTTGGGATTATGCTGGAAGTAACTGATATCAAAGATGGCTTCAGCGTATGGTAGGTTGTACTGCTGCAGGTTGTCATACAGACCGCTGCCAGGCGATCTGTACGCATAAAAAAAATACAAATAATATTTATAATTCAATATGGGGGCTTGGCCAAACACATCCACATGCAATCCATAAGTCATTTCACTATATAGAGGAATTAAAGGAGAATATTCACCTGAAGTCTGGGATTCCGCTTGGTGTGCTGATTCCCGCTCCCACCATAACCACTATCTTCTCATATTCCCGCTCTCTAATGCCCCGGGCAATATCCTCCAAGGTTTTCTGTGTTGGGGGGGTACCACCTCCTAGTGTGAACTGTCCCCGGTCGCAGCTCCAAAAACGAAAATGCCTCCTGAGAATGAAGAGAGGACTGCTTGCTACACGTTATCTCAAATGCAGCAAAAGTGAAGGGGGGGGGGGATCAAACTGCAGATTGACAGCTGGCGGCTACACACCCATCAGATGGAGCGAGAAGCTGCCGAAGTCTTGTTCCTAAGCTTCCTAAGCAGTCATGTTTAAGGTGAAGGGCATTAGCTCTCTCTGACACAAAGCACGACAGCCCCCTCTGCTTCGCCGCAAAAGTAAAGTGATGTTCTGAAACACAGAGGTGGATTGTGAGGGTTATGAGTGGATTCTGAAAAGAAGATTGAACATTCTAGTTCAGGGAGGAGCAAAGCAGTTACATTTTACATTTCAGGATGTATGTAAACATAGACAGCCGTGCTATTTTGGGCCCAATGAAATCATATCATATTGGGCCCCCAATGCAGACCAATGAAATTATGTTCCAATTTTTTAGGGCCCCTGACTTGACACTTTTATGGCCCCCTAGAATATAAATAATAAAGAAATGACAAAGACACCTGTGCGTCACATCTTGCCGTACCTCAAAGCAAAAAACAATTTTCTTCTTGAACTCATGCAGTCTGAACACTACACAGATGTTAACAAGGGATGACATAAATCAGTGTTCTTACAGCAGCTGAAAAATGCTGCCTTATGGACGGTGTACCATGGCAGGTGAAAGGTTGGGAAACGATGACCTAGATACCGGGGTGTGCACTGCATCCTCCAGAACGGCATGCAAGGGTCCTGTTATGAACTTTAACTCTATATCTATCAAGTGTGAAACTTATTCAGCTAAACATGTTAGGCTCCATCTGGCTTCTGACAGACAGGACAGCATATGTGTGGTTGGGCAAACTGATGCTGGAGTATGTGCGTTCTACCTTCATTTTGTCTCCGTACACAAATGATTGAATATCTGGTGACCAGTCTGACACACTGCTGAAATGTGCTGATGACTTCATTCGGATAGACTTTATTTCTAATGGGGATGATTCCATATACTGACAAGAGGTGGAATATCTGCCATCCTGGTTGAGTCATTCAAGTTCTTGAACACTGTCAGTCAAGAGGGATAAGCACATCACCATCATCACAAAAACACAATAGCATATAATGTTCCTCTGAAGCATGTTGTCCGATCTGCAGAAATGATTACCACCTGCAGCTTTCTTTCAATCCAGGAACTGTATGAATACAGGATAAGGAGGTGTACTGGGAAAATCATGGCTGATATCTGCTGTGAGAAGTAACACCCGCTCCAAAAACTCCCCTCTGGTAAACGCCTACAGAACAGAAGTAGTAAATCAAGTTGCCACTGGAACAGATTCTTCCCTCGTGCCTGAGCTTCTAATTAAGCAGAACTGGCCAGGATTCTAATTAGGGCGACCACAGTGTAACATGCATATGGACATCCTGGGGGCCAAACTGCATTCCTTTTTGCACTACTAAGCAGTGTACCCTGAGAGGATAGAGAACTGTACAGTTAAGGGGTCTCCAACCTCTTTTTGCAATGAGCTACTTTTGCAAAGAAAATACCCTGGCTTGCCACGACTCGGGGTCCCTCGGTATTTTTTTTATTTTATTTTTTATTTTTTGGGGGGGTGGGATTGATTGTAAGTTGTATCGCGATCGATTAGAGATGCCTTGGACATCGACCTGTTGGCGAATACTGATACAGTGTAGTGTTCTAATAAATTGTATTTATTTTGTTCTGCATTTAATGTAGGACGTCACCAAAACAAATCCCTCGAATATATGTGTAATATCCTTGGTGAATACATTTGATTCTGATACTGTCGAGGTTAAAGGTATAAATTAAGTAGAATATATCTGTAGTGTTTAACCACAAATTACAATAGCATTATAAAATGAAAAATGGAATATTAACAGTTATTACATTGATCATTATATACAATACATATGTCATCCAAGGCTATATATATTTCACAAATCACACACACTGTCATATATGTTTTACCTTTCATAGAAGAAATTCGTATTGCCTTTGACCTTATATTTTCACAAAATCTTAAGCGCGGAAGCCGAATCAACGTGGAAGTCATCATGTTCGCTTCATTTATTCATAGAATAATTTATTTAGTTTACAAAACTTGGACTTTACTGAATTAGATTGAACCCCATAACGAGGAAAATAAAATACTCACGCAACTACAAAAACAGAGCTTTTGCGCTCTTAGATGGGTCACTAAACCAAGGGACAAAAATAGTATAAATACCGTAATATCCCTTAATTTGATCTCAGGGAAATGAAATGTATAATTATATATTACTATTTCTCCATTTCCATTTTAATGTTAAGTGCTACTGTTACTGTTGTTTTAGTTGTTATATTCGTTATTTATTGTTGTTTTTATTTAGAACAACACAAACCTAGGAGGAACAATTTAAACAAATTATTTTCTTCCCCTATATTGCCTACACTACGGTAGTAATGGCTGCCAGGTCATTACCCAGAGACCATTGCAAAAGCCGTGTGTATGTTTGAGATACAGTACTATTTTCTTTTTAATTTTACGGAGCGATACGTTGTAACAGACCGGCGATTACAATGAAAGATGTCACCGGGTACCTTAAACAGCAGCAGAGCAAGAGCTCAACGCCAGAAATGGCAACGGAATGGCACACTTTGGAGGAGCTTTACAACAAAAAGTAAGGAGTAGAAAAGGCAAATATACTTCTGTCACAGTCAGAAACATGCGCTGAGTCATGTAGCTAGCTACAGAAAAGCCGCTTGACATGAGCAGGCCCACTGACTTTGTTAATGTGTTACTTGATTGATCTTGCAACAGACATTTTAGGAACACTGTCTACATTAGTGACTCTCCAAGACATGCAGTTTTCGGTTTTTGGTGTATCACACGGGCCCCTGTGTTGCGGTCCAGCACACTGCCTAATGCTTTCGGTCGCTTGGCTTCAGACAAACTCTGCTTGTCCGGATCTTCGTTGTGGACTTTTTAAGACGCGGTTATTTATGCAAAATTAATTCAGTGCAATATTGTCATTATGTGGCGTATTTCGATTGACTTGGTGTTCCTCTGAAAACCAATTTTCCCTTAAATATATGTTTTCATAAATTATAACGCTTTGAAAGTAATGAGCAACATTTTACGTTGTCCTTTATAGTGACTTTTTTTTTTTTAATAAATATGGATTATATCAATAACAATGCAGATGTTCCCACTATTATCTAAAATTGTCTTAACTGAGTTTTTCTTAAGACTCAAAGTTGTATTTATTTGACTACTTGAACACCGTAGTATGATGTCTGTGACAAAGAAGACAAATTCACTGAAGTATTACTTTTTTTCTTTGAAATAATCAGGTTGTGGCACCAGCTTACACTGAAGCTACTGGTTTTTGTACAGGAGCCTTGCTTTGCCACTGGTGATGGACTCATTCAGGTAAGTGCAGGACTTGAAAGGGCATAGAAATGCCTCTCATATCTATATGAAGCAAATTCCTGTATCCTGTCTTTTCGAGTAAACCCCCGGCGGTTGGCTTATTCTTGTCTTTTCAATCTCTTACAGCTGTATGAAAACTTCCTCAGTGACTTTGAGCACAGGTTAGTCAGTCCTGATTAATCAACATCTGATTAGTTTACTACTAAGGAATCACATTCTTCTGATACTAAAGTACCCATGTCTGTAATTTTGGTCAGATGGGATAGCAGGCATGTGGCCCAAGGCTTAAGATGCACATTGATGGCAGTTCAGTAGTTTGAAACTAAAGGAAACTGCAGCTCATTTTCTCTTGCCCATTTTCAATGGCATAATCGTGATTTCTCTATTCTCATGAATTCAGAATCAACCCACTGTCCCTGGTGGAAATCATTCTCCATGTAGCCCGCCAGATGATAGGTAGGGATGCAGACGTTCTCTCTCATTTGTTACATAGACTTTGACGTTATTACATGCCGTGAAACAATATGCTGAACTGTGAATCTTTACAGATCCAAATGTTGCCATCACCTTCCTTGAAAAAACAAAGGAAAAGGTGATTTGTTTTTAATTAATAACAACTATGACGACTATGATCTATGCCTGTTATCTAAATTAAATACAGCATGCATGTGGCGTGAGATTTTGTATTGTTACATGTCTTCGAAAGCCTGCCATTCAGTATGCCTTGTTCATTCAACTAGGTGAAAAGCAGCGACGAAGCTGTGATCCTCTGTAAGACCTCCATTGGTAGTCTCAAGCTGGAAATAAATGACCTTCCCGCCACTAAGGTAACAGCCCCCCCCCCCACCCACAATTGTTTTTAAAGTTTCCGGCCTGTACTTGTACCACATATTTCTTGCAAATTCTAAATGTATTTTGAAATGTTCTTTGCTTCCCCCCCCCCCCAAACTAATTGAGGAGGTGGAGGAGATGTTGAATAACCTGCCTGGCGTGACATCTGTGCACGGGCGTTTCTACGACCTCTCCAGCAAGTACTACCGCATCATCGGGAACCATGCGTCTTACTACAAAGATGCTCTCCGATACCTGGGATGTGTGGATGTTAAGGACCTTTCAGGTAATTTATTCCTACAGGTAGCCAGAGAAGAGAAATGGATTTTAGTGCAAATGTAAATACTGCCTGGGCTGGTGTACATCAGTCTTGTGCTCGTTTTTGTATTATTATGTGTTTTAAATGTATGACTGGCTGCTTTAAAATGGGGAAGAACTGTTTTGTACATGATTTATTAGAACCCCCCCTTCTTCCCACCCACAGAGGCTGAGCAACAGGAGAGAGCCTTCACATTGGGGCTGGCAGGACTCTTAGGAGAGGGAGTTTATAACTTTGGAGAACTGGTAAATCACTTTTAAAAAAAAAAAAAAAAAAATCCAAAATGTGATCCATTTATATGCTAAGAGCATTCGATGAATCTGCATCAGAACCTGCTACTGGCGATAAAAACAGAGCCTCTGAAGTGAATTTGGCAGCCTTAATATTGCAAATCCTGGCCCATCAATCCCACGGGGTCAGAACCAACTGTTGATTAATATGGAGTAATTGAAGCCAGTATTCCGGAATTAATTATGGCGTGTTTTAAAGCCGTGCTTTTAATAGTGATATGAGCAGTGGTGGAACGTGTGCTGTTCCCTGCAGCTCATGCATCCAGTGCTGGAGTCTCTCAGGAATACAGACAAGCAGTGGCTGATCGACACACTTTATGCCTTCAACGCGGGCAATGTGGAGAAATTCCAGGCCTACAAGACTGCTTGGGGTCAACAGGTGAGGGAGGGTCTTTTTACAGCAACAAGACATTTGCACCAAAGTCAAAAACCTTGCATGGAAGCATATACAGACGCTCCACTACTTACGCACGAGTTGCATTCCAAACGGCCATTCGTAACTTGAAATGTTCGTAAGTCGTTATTCAACATCATTTTAAGGCTATGCGCAAGTACAAAGAACTAGGATGCTGGGAGTACGCACGCTACGCTGCTGCACGGCGGGAGCAGCAGCCAGAAGTCGTACTAGGTGGAATTAGCGCGCAGAAAAAAAAAATGTTGCGGACAGGAAATGGGAGCCCACAAACACAATTTGAACTTACAGTCCTCTTCGTTCGTATGTCTGAAAGTTCGTAAGCAGAGGAGCGTCTGTACTCATTTTTTATACATGCCATAGCAAGGCAGAATTCTCATAGGTTATGTGTTTGTATAAATGTTACTAATACATTTTTCTCCACAGCCTGATCTGGCAGCACAGGAACACAAGCTAATGCAGAAGATCCAGCTCCTTTGTGTGATGGAGGTACTTGGACTTTTTAAGGGGTTTCATTTTTTAATCTCGGTTTACATAAGGTCCCTGACTTGTTTTTTCTTTCTTTCAAGATGACGTTCACGCGTCCAGCCAATCACAGACAGCTGACTTTCCATGAAATCGCACACAGTGCCAAAATCCCAGTGGAGGAGGTTAGTCAGTTGCATCGTTTTAAGTTGGATGTTTTTTTTTTTCTCTTCTCATGTATACTGGTTTATTTCCTTGGCGTTCTCTCACTTAATATGTGGTCGCAAGCGTGTCGAACATGTAAACGGCACAAGTGCTTCCGTCCAACTGCCCACAGGTGGAGCTGCTGGTGATGAAGGCTCTCTCTGTGGGGCTGATCAAAGGCAATATCGACGAGGTGGATCAAAGGGTTCAGATGACCTGGGTACAGCCAAGGGTATTGGATCTGCAACAGGTGAGCTTGTAGCTCCAGGTACAGGTTTCTGTGTAGAGGTCTCTGCGCCTCCCCTGACATTCGATTCTCCCTCCTGCGGCTCCAGATCAAGGGCATGAAGGATCGCCTGGACTTATGGTGTGGCGATGTGAAGAACATGGCTATGCTGGTGGAGCAGCAGGCCCACGACATTCTCACCTAGAGCAGGCATCCTGCAGGTTCTGCATGGCTGTCCAGCTTTTACCTGGGTCCTTCAGACCTCTTCAACAACCCCTGGGGCATCATCTCTGACTGTATTTTGGAATAGTGACTAAGAGGAACTGCAGCACCCAACACGTTAAACTCTTCTGAGTACTGTTTTATATTTAAAGTTGGGTGCCATGTTTTACTCTTTTTTTTTTTTTTTATTTCTTTAAAAAAAATGTTTTGGACCATGTGTATCTTTTTTTTAATCCATGTGTTTTTTGCCCAGTTAAAATCAGACAGCCAACCACATTTTACTGAAAACATACGCAGCCCAGTGTTTAATCTGTTCATTACTGCGGATACAGTTCATGTCGGTAACTGCCCATGTTCAGTTCAAGATAGATACTAAAATATGTAATTATTTTTTTTTGTACTGAGCAAGTCAGTTTGCTAAAACCACCACTTACTGACAGGGAATGTTGTTTTTTTTCCCAGATTCAATAAAGGAAACCTACTTCATGTCACCGTTATTTACTTGAGTATTATGTTTTATTTAGTATCTATTTTAAGATCATAGGACCATTTCAATGGGAGATACCCGATTCACGTCCACTAACAAACTGGCCAAATTAAATGAATCACTATAGCTCAAATTATAATTAAATGGGTGACCATATATATAAAAAACATCTAATTAAAATAGATATCCTTAACTATTGGGAAATAGACACAGTGGGTCAGTAGGCAGTACTATAGCCTTACTCTGACAGTTAGGGGGTTGAATCACACTTAGGAGTTTGTTCTCATGCCTGTTGATCCTTGCTGTCTTTGGGTTAGTCTTTCAGTCTAAAACCATGTAGATTCGTGTATCTAAACTGTCTATATCAATATAGCAGAATAGTTCAAGCTCCCTATGTGGCATTTTTAGGTCTCACCATCTAGAAATGTTGCCAGAAACACAATTTATCAATTTTGTACTAGGTCAAATCTTGCATCATATTTAGACCCCTGAGAGGACAAACACCTAGCAAGGTATTCAAAACTGACAATGAACCCAAGCAAGAAACTGTTTTAGGAACATTTATTAGAAAGTTGGTGCATAAGCATTCGCTTTTTTATTGGAGAAATGACTTCAGGGGGGGATCTTGTTGGGGTTCCCGTCATTCCATTTCCTCAGCGTTTTTTGTACTCCTCCAAGTTGGCCAGGATCCATCCCGAGGGAACCATGACTGCAGCAAAAAAGGAAACCATCGCAATGGTTTGCTCCTGGAGGGCAGATATTGGCAGCGGTAAGCACGATTGGTAACGTTTCTGTAATACAAGTAAAATTCTATGTATAAAGCCAAACGAATGTTATATACACCGTCTCTCGCAAGCACACTGATAACGCACCAGGTTGTGCGGATCTTATGGAATTGATAAGTTATGCGTTATAATGCAATGAATCACGGTCGATTTAAGGTTTTTGAATCTTAAAGTTAAATTAATTAACGAAAAAAAAAAGTTATACTGCAAGGTCATTATAGTGATCAACACAATTCACCAGCAGTAAGCTACCACGCCGGAAGACACGCACATATATTAAATTCCAACAGCACAATTGTAGGAAACTCTTAAGTTTAAACGAAACTAACATTTCAGAAGAACCGATGAGATTTAGGGAATATACTTAATTTCCACAAAGCTTGTTTTTTTGGTGCTTTCGGCAGACGTGAAATACAGATGCAATGGCGTTTACGCGTATTCTGGCATCTTGTAAATGTCCAGAGTTCCAGACGCATTTCGCCCAAATGAAGATACCATTTATATCTCTACATAAGCAGGTACTAAAATCGTATTTTGGAAACGTCAGAGGTTTCAAAACTATTTTTAGACGTCAGCCGGAAAAAATAAACGCTAAAATGAAATATTAATAAATTATGTATCCAAAAGCAGCAATTAAAAACCGCACGAACTCGTAAACATCTGATCAAACCGCACTTCTCCACTTTAAGAACATGCGCAATAACTCCACTGAGAAACTTGCGCCGGGCTACTTACAGCGACTGTTAAGTTGTGTTTCGCAGGTTTGGACGAAATGCCGGCTTTGGAGGCGATCAGGGATCGCAGAGTAGGTCGGAGAAAGAAAAAGGAGCGACTGAACGCAGACATGGTCCTTTTCACTAGCGTTTCTCGTTCAGTTTTAACACCAAAGGCCGAAGCGTGAAGGATCGCGGCTCCCACCAGTTGTCGGAGAGCTTGAATGCCCTTCAAAAACAGCTTAGCATTTATCTGCCAAGTGTAATATAAGGTCAAGATAAAAAAAAGCCCAGCCTCTACATCCCATTCGGCTACGGGTTAAACTGTATCCTGCATTTTAATTGGTCAGTATGTTCTAGGTTATAGACCAGTTATTTAATTATTATACGAGAACAGTTTCACTTTATTTGCTCTTCTGAGACTACATATATACATATATATATCGCCAGATACTGAATTAATAAATGCATGAATTTTCACAAATCGATCCCCTATCCCACAGTATATGCAAACCCCAAAATGTTCAAAGTTCAAGTTAATTGGTTATGTAAGAATCGCCACGGCTGATCTGTTGCTATGAGGAAAAAAAGATGCTCTCATTTCGGTACTGTAAAAATTACGGTACGAAGAGCACAAAAACAATACATTGACACAATGAAGTCCCGTTGTGAATTTAATAGTGAAGACGTACATACATTTTAACCATAAATGAAAGTTAATTCTATAAATAGCGGAACACTACATTTTCTGCCGTCAGCAGTCTTCGGATTTTTCTGATCTCCACTGGTTTCACATTTTTAAGTCCTGAAACAAATGTTGAAAACATCAAGTAGGTGTCGTGAAGCAATGCCGTACTCAAAAGTATCATGGACATACGTAATTTTTTTCGATTAACAATGTAGGTTTGGGGTTCCTACCTTTTAGAACCGTATACCAGCTATTCAGTCCTAATCTGTACGTATTATTTTCTTCGTAGTCATTCACATATCTTCTGCCATCTGTAAGTAAATAAGTACTTTAAAAAATAATTTCCAGAGGTTTACTGTGTGATGTAGGGCTAGTGATTGACAGTGAAGCACAATATACATGTAAGAGGTGCAACTTACATTTTCCCTTGAGATACATCATTGACTGCGGGCCCCAGTTTTTTACGTGCAGTTTACTCTGCTGGAAGCACACACGGCACACTAATCATTATGTTTCTGAGTATTAGTTATACGAAGTCCACAAATTCTACACTTATTTCAGATTTTAATTCTAATATTGTACCTTCGGTGTTGAGTTTGAAGGGACCACCAGGAAAACCAATATTATTGTGCAAATGAACATCAACCTTGACCTAGTCTTCTGAAAAGAGATATGGCTACTTTATATGAAATTTAACATATCTGAACATTCCCACAAAGCTAATTATACTCAGTACATACACTGCTATAATTACTCAGTAGGTACACTGCTAATTACTCAGTACATACACTGCACTTACCATTTCTCCCAGAACGACGCTTGTTTTGGATCACTGGAATAATCTCTTGCTTTCCAGCGGTTGTGCTTTTTATTCACATTTGTGACTCAAAACAACGGGATCTCGGGTTCAATACCTCCAACCGTGCGCGGTAAGTCTTGAAGGCACATATCCTCAGGTGGGGAAACGCGAAAACAAAAGCTAACGTCAAATCCATAATGCCGGTAATGAAAACGAATGACATAACGATTTTCCAGTATTTGCCTTCAGTAAACTTTTCCAAAGTGCTGGAAAAGAAAAACAGCGTAACTATATAAAGATCAACTGCAATATAACGAACTTTAATGCATGAAGTTATATATTTGTGTTATGTATTGCCCTAAAGAAATTAATATTCAAAAAGCAAAAAGTCTTAATATTATTCTGTGTTGGTACGCGGATCACCAGATCAGATATTTTGACTGCCAAAATGCCAGGTTAATAATTTAATGAAGTATAGATTAAATTAATGTATCTATATTTTTACTTGTAGGCCTATATTTAACAAGAAAAAGAGTATACATGTGCTTAACATAGCAAGACTATCTTTCATCCATAAATTTTAATCCAAATACATGGCATGGCGTGACCTTAGGGTTTGAAGTAATTTCTTGTTTTTTTCTACTTTCTCCCTTTTATCCCTTTTAATTTGGCAATTGTCAAATATTGTTGGATCATCAGCTGGAAAAATATGAAGGTCATATTGCATACATTGAATGAGCTCTGTAAGAGGTTCTAATTATAATAGTAGAGTACGTGGCTCTATTGGTTGCACTTTTGGGTGTGTGAACGTGTGATTTTTCATGTTCTCCCGATGTATTATGGGATTCCTCCCGCAGTTACAGGAACTGGTGTTTCTAAATTGCTCATACCGTGTAGGCCTTGTGATAGACTGAGATTCCATCCAGGATACTCCTTTATGTTGTGCCCGAGTGTTTGGATAATTTGAAGACCACCGCCCCCCAGTCCGTACTAGGAAAAAGAAAAACTTATTTAATATTTAATTGCCAGCATCTACTATTATATGCTATACTGTTGTGCATAAATGAACTTCTATTTGAGTTGAAAAGCAGTTAGAAGATGGATGGATGGGCGTACTCTCAGCAGTGATGCATAATAGTCTTGGCCACTAGGAGGAGTAGTGGAAAAATCCTGAATACAGTAGTACCATTATATCCAGTGTCACATTGTAAAATGTGTAACAGTATGTTTTTTCATCGTTACTTTGTCATTTAAGAGGCATAAAAAGCATGATTTTCATTGCTCCCTCATCCCTTGATACATACTTCTTCATTGTTGTACTATCTGTTGAGAATTAGGCTAAACGTCACAATCCCTTTCATATGAGAGAATTGGCCTGCAGTACTGTAATTTGTATTTGTTGATAATGTCTTACTGTATGTGACTGATCAATTTCCATATGTAAGTACACAAAAATCACATTCTATATGGGGTCCTCAGATAGTTCGCTTTTATTCACGGTTTCGGGTATTTGCAGCTATCGGCCATTGGCTATCGGCCATTGGCTATCGGCCATTGGCTATCGGCGGTAGGTCTTGGGATGTAACACACACAGATACGTGGGAACTAGCTTCGACATTCCAATGCAATATAACTTAATATATAATAGGAATATAAGAAAGAATTCCTAAGTTATTAGCAATTAATGCTTGTTGGAGTTTCTTGAAACTGAAAATTTGATGCAATAAATATTCAACCATAATTTTGAATTCAATATTTTTATTGAACTTTACTGCACTATCTACCTCATAAATATGATAAGACAATTTTACAAAGGTGGAATTTAGTAAATCCTTGTTAGGAAAAAAAAAGGAATTTCTTAAAACAACATACTTCGGCAAGTTATTTTAAAAGTGAAAATCTGTGTTATTGCACATGTATCTTGCACATGCATGTTGATTAAATGGGAATAAATAAAACATGCATAGAGTTACATTCAGAAATAAATAACTAACAAAACACTGTATGGTTACAAACAAATAATACAGAGTACAGCAAACATTTTCTTATAAGTAATAAAACAAGTGTTTTAAAGCATAAGAAGGGCTCTTCTCATGAATTAAATGCTTTAAAGAAACCAGTCATGTTGCATCCATTCAAACTAGACCTGCAGGTCCTTGTGTTTAAAAATTGACTGGATTATTTGCATCAGGCCCTGGCCAAACTCCCACAAGATCACTGCCTCAGCTTGAGGCAAAGTGAAGCCTTCCTTTTCTGCCTCCTCTGCTCGAGCGATGAGGCAGCCACATGTCGCTTTTACGGCGTCGAGCGTGACACACGCCAGAGGACACCTGTTAAACACAGCGATCGATGAAGTCTAAGCAAACAGGGATGCACCTGCCATCATCTGCAATCCATTGATTGGGACACTAAGAAAAAGATCAAAAATCAAACACGGCTAGTGCAAGACTCCATCCTTTTGTAATCCATGTATTTCATTTATTCACACCTTTAACTCATTTATACTGTTAAACGTCATGTGCTGTTGTACTTCTGTATATAATTCAAGTTGTCAGCTCAGAGATGAATAAAATAAACAACACATTTAATCCCATATTATTCAATCACTCTACTCCTTGGACTCATACAAGCCTTTCTAGAAGTATTAAATTATTTTAATTTTTTTAACGGTCAAGCCATTCAATTAATGAATTAATTAATTCATCCAGGTTCACTTGAGTTGCGGCATGAAAAAACACAGAAGACACCAAAGAACCTCAACAACATTTTCCCAATTGAATCAATGAAAATTACTACAAAACATTGAATCGGCTCATAAGGTTTCTTCCGTTCTTTGCTGATATAACAGGATATTTTTGAGAATCAGATCACTGGTGAAACAGTAAAAAATCCCCTTGAAGATCACAACAATGTCTGACATCTCTCAGATTGTCCTTAACAGTAATATAGAGGGTGGAGCTGACAAGTTGAAAACTGCAAGACTAAAACAAATGAGTGAACATGAATAAACTGTGCAGATTCATGTCCTTTCTGTTCTCCTACTGTAACACTTCATGACAAAATTCTGATTTGCTGTTTTTATACTACTGGTTGAGCTACTCTTTTTATGGACACACCTACATTCTTCTCACATACAGATACTATTATTGCTGAATACTAGTATGTGTAATTTCAGTGTAATGGTTTGTTTTATTCATCACAAGATGTTCATGATCTTTGATATTTTGGGTGTTTTGCTCAGCCATATAATCTTTCTGGGTTCTCTCCTTCTAGCTGTACTGCTGTTGCCCCCCCTCCCCACCTCCCCCCACCTTAGATTGACACCAGTGGTGTTGGCCCGTAGCCTGCCCCGCAGATTTTGCTGGGGGGTTCAAATCTGTTATATTACTACATAGCTATTGGTGTGGATTATGCTATGTTATAAATACATTTGTAAATAGTGTATATACTTACTGAATACTGAGGTGATGAGGACAAGTATCAAAGAAAAAAATTAAAGACATTAACACAGTAAAAACTTGTTTATGTTGTCCGTTATATCTTGAGAGGGTTGTCACTATAAAATACATATTTTTAAACAAGATCCTTACTTGCATCTTTGATCTGTGTCTATACCGTAAAGGTTGGTGTCCTGCTTGTTGCTCCAGTCCTCGGAAAAGCCCATCTTACGCTCTAGACGCAGATCATAGTTCTTACAGCTGACACACTTGCAGATGTAGGAACACATGATCTTGGCCTGTAGGAAGTCATACAAGTCAGCAGAATGCACAGTGGTGCCCCCTCCCCTTATACCCACTCCCGCCCGGCCTGGCACGTGCCCCCTCCCCTCATACCCACTCCCACCCGGCCTGGCACGTGCCCCCTCCCCTCATACCCACTCCCACCCGGCCTGGCACGCGCCCCCTCCCCTCATACCCACTCCCACCTGGCCTGGCACGCGCCCCCTCCCCTCATACCCACTCCCACCTGGCCTGGCACGTGCCCCCTCCCCTTATACCCACTCCCACCTGGCCTGGCACGTGCCCCCTCCCCTCATACCCACTACCGCCCGGCCTGGCACGCGCCCCTCCCCTCATACCCACTCCCTCCCGGCCTGGCACGCGCCCCCTCCCCTCATACCCACTCCCGCCCGGCCTGGCACGCGCCCCCTCCCCTCATACCCACTCCCAACTGGCCTGGCACATGGCCCCTCACCTCATAGCACTCACAGTAGTTCTTCAAGCAGCCAGATCTCTTGCAATTGCAGCCCTTGTTATGACGGCCATTAAGCTCCCCCAGGATTCCACTAGCGATTTTTGGTTGGAAGGCCTCCGGATTCCTCTTTAGATATGTCTGGTGTTGTTTCCCAAAGAAACATGATTTTAAGGAAGACGACAGAAAAGCACACTGTATATAACTAACTACCGTAACTGCACACTGTATGTAACTAACTACAATAACTGCACACTGTCTGACACTTTACATAATAAACAGTAATAAACAGTAATAGTAATAGTAATTCAGATACTAGATTCCTAGTATTAGAGCAATGGTTTTAGGGGTTTTTTTCCCACCAAAGTGTTTTTCTTATCAAAGTGTATTTTCTGTTTGATTATTCCTTATACAACAACACTTACGTACTGCTGTTTTAGAATGCAAAATATAAATAACTTTACATAAAGATATATCATTAATGGTTTGATCTGATTTTGGCACCGAATGATATGGCAATACAGGACAAGGGTGTACAGGTCAGGTAGGTCAGTAGAACATGCTATAGAAACATGTATAAGCCAAACAGTAGCACAGCACCATGACACAAGCATGTCGTACCTTGATGGCCTTAATTCTCTCTGACTCATGTACAGTGTTGTTGTGGCAATTGATACAGTTGCAGTTGCTGCAGATCTCCCCATTTGCAAAGCAGTCACAGTAGCTTTAGGATATAAAGAAATGTGTTAAGGTTCATTAACATTAACAATGAAATACTCCATTCTGGCAACAAAAAAGGTAGTACACAACTTCCCCCGCCAACACCATGGCTGTAAATTATGGGGGAGATCATCAAAACCAGCCAATATCACCCACTGGACCCCCTTACTCAACCCCCCCAGTACTCAATCCAAAGTTATACACTTGGTCAATGCAGTTTTTCCAGCCTCATAAGTCATAATTAATGAGCCTTTATTGGGGTTACTATAAAGTAATAACTAAGTAATAGTTACATCAGGTTCTGTGCATGAGGGACATGGCAATGGTGAACAATTACATTTGTGCAAATCATAAGTAATTAGCTAACTGGTCATGATTACATAAAACACTTAGTCAGAGTCATTCAGCATCTCCATTACACGTTCAGCTTGGAGAAAAACCTCATTTTTGTTGTCATATCCACCTGCTGTGTCCCTATCCCCAAACTCCATAATAAGCCCTGACATGAAGCTAGATATCGACTGGCGGACTGAAAACAGCAACCTACACACACAACAAACTACAACTCATCGGTTAAAAAAATGCTTACAATTTCAGGCACTGGGATTTAGTGCAGTTGCACGGCCTTTTCGATCTGGAGTCCCCGGGAAATTCTGAAATTCTTTCATAAAACATTTATTTCAGTCAAACTCTCTCTGCTGCTACTATAAACTGGAATTATTTATACGAGCTTAAACGTTTCTGCACAGGTAATTCTCACCGAATAAGTGATGTTTCGGGCTTTCTCTGTGTTGCTAGTACTACTGAGTTGTCGTACACTGCACAGGGAGTCTGCTGGAATGGTTCAAAGGAACAGAAAAGCGACTTTTTAATTAAGGGATATGTTTTTATCTCCATTATTTTCTGAATGTTTAAGAATACTCACATGTGAGCACAACAAGTTTCAATTCTGGAACACAAGCTACCTGAGGGACATAGGACCTGGGCAGGGTACTGTAGCTCAGTTCTGCTCCAAGAGACACTGGTGGGATAAAGCATGTGGAGGAGAGGGAGTCGGGCCCAGGCTGCGGGGGGGGGATGATGGATGGAGGCAGGTAGGGTGGAGCCATCGTGGAGCCCTCTGTTGGTAGGTTTTCCTTTTTAATGTTTTCTAAATTAGTCATAACTGTTCATGTGACAGACAAATGGAAAAATAAAATGATTATATATAGGTTTAGTTAAAAAAAACAGCTAACATGGCTTAACTGCAGTACATTATACAACCACTTGGTGGAGTCAACAGTAGGTTTCTTGCTCTGATAGAGCCTGCATTACAACAACTGAACAGCGCAGTTAAGTTTTTTCTGATAGCCAGTGGCAGCGATAGGGAGAAGTTTTAATGTGCTCTAGCCCCTCCAACAATGACCACAGCACCCCCGCGGTAACCCCAAAAATCTATTTTTTCTTTTTAAAATACCTGTAAAAACTGAAAATTGCTAAAGAAAATATAAATTTTCTCCTGATACCAAACTAATTTCCAGTGCTGAGTGTATATTTTATGCTGCTTCTATTAATTTATTTACAATGTATAGGTCTGAGAAATGTCATTTTCTACAGTTTTTCACATCTTGGTCTTTTACTTTCGTAGATGAGCCCACACATTGCCTGCTTGGTACACTTTTACTACTGGGTGACAGATAAATATATCGAATGACAATTAACTTTCAAATAAATAAGGTAAACACTAACAATAAGGCCAAAGGAAAGGTTGGAGTCACATTGTTATAGCACATTAGTTTGCGCTTTAATTCATTTCTAGAGGAAAGCAGTTGTAACTGGTTAGAATACAAATTCTTAATATCAAAAATTCAATTTTAACCAGTTAAACTGTGTATTTCTGATATCATAAATTTAAGTTTAGTTGAAATATCAGTTTCTGATATCAGGAATTCAGTTTTAACTAGTCGTAATGCCAAGTGTTGATGTCAAAAATTAAATTTAAACTAGTTGAAAATACAATTTCTGATATCAGGAATCCAATTACACCGAGTTATAATTATACAAATACATGAAAGTTTAAATTTATGTGCACCAATATTGTCATTAGTAATAACAGGCCTAACTGATGCAATTAAACATGTATGATTTAATGTGGTGCTGACCTTTTCCACGAGTAGCACTGAGCTCTGTTGTTTCTTCCTGGGACATCGACTCAAACTGAAGCTCTGTGACAGGAAAGGTTTGCCCAGATCGCAGAGAATGGGGACTCAAATCGCAGATGTTTAGAGCCACAGTCTGTCCAGGCCCATTACCTCCACCAACAGCCTGAAATCAACAATGAAATACTGAGATTTTAACAAACTCCCTTGTGCATATACAGTACCTAGTGTCAACCAATGAAATCCAAACATGTTAACGACTGTCCAATAAGAACCCACACCATTACAACTTTCCCTGGACCTACTCAAGATAAGTAATTGAATGCTATCAAACCAACACGAGCTCACCTGACAAATATTCAACCCCTGTGTGGTTATTTTCTCCCCCGGCTGGTCTAGACACTCTAAAAAAAGTGCTCCACAGTGCTGGATAACAAGCAACCCCAAGCAGAAAGTAATGTCATACACCATACAAGTTTGGACAAATTGAATTGAATAAAGAAAACACACAGAAAACTGTCATACAATACGTCAAGTGAGGCGCTCTTCCCTGAATGGATAACAGTTATACAACTCTATCCCATTCAGCTTACAGCATATCAGCAGAAATAACATTTGAATAAGAAAACAAAAAAACATTTGCAACCACATATCATGCAACACCTACTTTATATGGACACTAAATCATAAAATCTGAGAAATAACCCAAAATAACTTGCAATTATTCTAACAATTTTCAAGTTCAAGTTTGATACTACAACCTGAAGAATAATAATTCCATGTTAATTTGAATTCTCTCAAGTTTTATGGCTTAGCGATAATGTACCATGCAGAATATATAAGTATATAAAATTAAGTGAAGAACTAATGCACATTTGCCTTTGAAAATCCTATGATTTTAAGGATATTACACGTGACCTCTGTTTTCTTAAAATACTACGAATGATATGTTTCTCCCAAGATTTGTTTCACTTACTGACATCAAGCTATAGTGACCCTCCCCTTCAGGTGTCCATGCACAACCAGCTGCAGTGCTGCTTTCCAGCTCTGTTACAGGTTCTAGAAGCAGAGGAACATGGTGCTCTGAGATGCTATTGAAAAGGTTGACAGGTGGCAAACAGCAGTGTAGAGAGGGAATCTTTTGGAAGCAATTTGTGAAACTTGAATATTTCCTTCAGCGCCATCCACCACATTGCTTATAAAGGGTCTCACCCACTGCACCTCGTTCAGCTACACTGGTATGGGGATCTCCATCTGCTCTGACATCTGAATGTGTCCCACTCGATTCATCGATGAAAGCTTGTAAACAGGTCAGAATACCGTCGTCTTCATAGGGAAATATGAAATAGGTCTGGGACATATCACTGTAGACGCCATAATACTCCTGATCTTTAGATCTCTCCATTCTACTCGTCTGAAAACAAAATCTCATCAGATTTCAATTGCTGAAATGTTTCGTAGATGCTGTTAATAACAACTTAACACACACGTCGTGTTAGTTTCATGCGATTATTTTGTTTAGCGATAATTTGTAAACGTCCTACACATACACTTAGCACAGGATATATTCACTTCATAATCTACTGCTGTCAAAATCTGTAAAATAATTAGATAATTATTAATGAACTTATACTGTGGTTACTGAAATACACGATTATCGGCAGATTAGCAGTTCAGCTATCCACTGTAAGCCAGCGAAATGAAAAAAAAATCGCTAATCACCAAAATAAGTATGGACGGGCTTTTCTCGTTTCATAGAATAAACCAGGCCCAATACAAAACTGTTACTGTGGTGATAATCGATGGCCTGGCAGTTATGATATTTTTAAATGATGCAGCTTGTGACAGTACAGAAGGCCTAAAATATTCGTAAGCAGCGTAACCTTCGTGCGCTGGAACGACTTGACGTCCGGTAACCGTCGTCACGTGCTATCGACTGAAAAGGAAGGATACGTGGATCGATCGCTGAAATGTCATAAAGCAAGATTTTTTTCGACCCCAGTGTTTCACTTTGAGAATCGATTTTAACGATAAAAATTTTATTTTCCTTGTTATTTATATGTATATGTTATTATAGAGATCAGGACAACAAACATGCAGACAGTATAGTGACTAGTGAAATAGGATAATCGATACCACCCCCACCAGGGTTTGTATGGTATCGAATATCGGTATCCTCAACATCCACCGTGGTGCTGGATAGAATCGAAAAGAAAATTAGTGGTATTGACCACTCTTTGGGCTGGATCGAGCGTATTGTTACCACCATTAAAATGTGAGAACGACCTCAATATACCAAAGTATATCGTTATAACTAGAAGGGGTCAGGTCAGAACGAGAAATGGTTACGTTATAACAATACTAATTTATCGTGTTAAAATGAGAATCTAAATTATTTTGTTAAATGACAAATGTTTCTCCTTATGACGTAATGGATATATTGTGTTCATTCGTTTACATGATTTGATCAAATTTTACTTCATGCTGGGGACGAGACTTCGGTCATGCCATTCGCACATGTTTGTACGTGAATGCTATTTCACTGTTTCACGGTAATAAATTTATTCGCACAATTCTTTGTAATAAAGTGCCATACAATGTCTCCCATTCCATCTTGAGAATATTCTGACAAGTAGCCACACAAAGTTTCACCTGAAGGCTGATTCTACGATGGAATTTAGGGGTTAGGCTGAGAACTTCTTCCCCTCAGCTGTCAATGTGATTGACAATAATACTGGGCAACGCTGAATCTCCACCTCGCCACCCTTCACACAGAACTTGGTTCTTCGACTGAACATTGCTTTTGTTTGCTGTCTGCTCATTTGTTTACACCAACTGATCAATTTGGACATTGTATATCTCCAGTTTGCACTTGTATCATTGCATCATCATACTACCTCATACTTTCTGTGACCTGGAAAGACTCATAACCAGTGCTCCAGATCGATGATGCACTGGATGACATTGTCAGGTCGACGTGTTTTAGCTCTCCAGACCTCCAACATCAAAGGCCCTGTTCGCTATCAGTTGCAGTCTATGGCACCTCCAGTCGGTGCTGTTCGGGTTCTGAAATGTTTCAGAACCATGTTTCAGAGGTTGATGGAGTGTATGTTGGACAATCATTGTACTGTATTGCTCACCTTGAACAATGAATGGTTGGACCCCAGGCCATCATGGTAGGTACAGTGTGGTACAGAACAATGAGTTAATTAAGAGCAGGGGTCACCTGTTCTAAAAATAGCGCAACTCACCAGTGAGCAGCGTCTAAAATTTCATTTTATCCTGTTGTTATTCTTCTTTAATCACATTTGCATTTATATAGATTTGAAAATGACAATATCTAAAAAAGCATTTAAAACATGTTTATTATACATGAAGTTTACATAAGTTTAGGACCTAAACTTAAAGTGGTAGCCCTTCGTATGGCTCAGTACCCATGAAGTAGCGCTCAGTTTCAAAAAGGTTGGTGACCCCCTGGTTAAGAGTTTTTCTAGATTGAGGTTAATTTTCAAGTTCAGGCAGGATCAGACCTTCCTGCCACAGAGACAGGTCTATTGAGACAAAGACGGTCCACTCTACTCTAGAAAGGGAGATGTGTTGTGATTGTTTATGAACTTGTTGGCCTGTATTGGAGCACCTGCATGACGTTGGGCACAGGTCACGAGGAACAAGGAACAAGTCATGAAAAATACAAGTTACATAATGATCTCATATTTGTTCATTAGTGAAAAATGATGTAACTTTTATTCTAAGCAGTTACTATATTTGTTACTATATCTGTTAAACTGCATTCATATGGTTTTACATATCTAATATTATTATTGTATTATTAATAGTATAATATTTGAACAATAAAACGTTTATATCGCTTTTCTGGATTAATCTGGATGAATTAACTATGGAAGATTATTCCCATTTTATTTTCCAATGTAGTTCCCTACAAATCTCATCAATACATATATTTAAGATAAGGCCTTGTAAAACAACGCTAAAATCACACGCAACTTTAAGGTTTAAAGGCAGATTTGTTGCATTAAGATGTTATGGGCACAACTGTTCAATGTAAAAACCCAGGATAACATCTTACTCGTCACTGTGCATTTTATGTACGCCCAACGTAATGACAATGTCGATGAAGTATAAAAACCACGCCTAAACAGCAATTACGACATTTTCTCTTCATAACAGATACATTGCGAGTGCAGTGTATGCATGGTTTAATTACAATGATGAGCGGAGCATTAAGCGAGTGTCGGTCAGTGCTGGTAACCGGGGCGAGCAGGGGCATCGGTCTGCAAATAGTTAAAAGCATGGCTAAAAGGTCCGAAGGGCCGGCGATTACTATCGCAACTGCCCGTAACCCAGCGGCCGCAGAGGTAGTATATCCTATATTTTCATTATTATATGCTGATAATTATTGTTGTATAACTGATCATAATTAGAAAGGTAAGGCGTGTTTTTTATATAGCGGTTTTCTAGCCTATGTATTGAAAACGCTTTCTGATTAAGTCCATTAAATAGTTAAAAGATCAACAAAATATTGACCTGTTTCCAGTGATCTGTATCGCGATGCAGGATTTCTTGCATTTTCTTAGACATACATTTAGCTGATACTACCTTAAATTCGACAGTGTCTTTTCGCTAAGCAAGAAATCCTGCTTTGTGATACAGGCCTCAGGAAGTTACAATTGTCGCGGTAAGTGAATTTGACCAGATGCGTAGAGACTGGACAGGCAAGGGAGGCAGTTGCCTGGGGCCCCAAGCTGGGAGGGGCCCCTCGACGGCCGATTACATAGTACACTGCCACGACAAATCTGCTTTATTTGTGTATTCTGTTTTTCAGAAAAATATCTGTTGATATTATTAACTTAGACCATACGGTAAAATAATGGTAATACATTTTGTCATGTCTGTGGAGCCCCCCCCCCCGTGTCCTTAGAACCGCCTCCGAATTTGATGTGATGTTTGAATGCAGTTTTGTAAATAAAATACTAGCCTACATGCAAGGCGTTAATCGCTAGATGCAACGATGCAACGTTGATAAATGTATCTTGAATGACGTTTTTTTTTTTTGGTGATTGTAGGAACTTCAAAGAGTTGCTAAGGAGTACTCGGGCGTCCACGTTGTAACACTTGGTAAGTAGATCATGCCAGCAGGTGGCGCAAGTGGTGCATCGGCACTCGTACTGTCCTGAATCGGATTTTCATAAGCTCTGGATCCCTTTTCCAACTTCAATCCATCCTTCCCTCTGTCCATCCATCCATCCATCCGGCCATTTTGTGTACCCGCTTCTCCTGTGCAAGGTTGCTGGGATCCAGAGCTTATCCTAGAAGCTAAGGCCGCAAGGCAGGGAATACTTTTACAACAATCTTTCTTAAGAAGCTCAACAAAAATATTACAAAATCAGCATGGACTGTTGTTTTAACAATACTTAATGTTATATGTTGGCAAAAATCTGTGAAAGTTATTAAATTTGAATTTAATTTGTGGATGTGTATCATCTAAAACTGGGAAAATTAATGTATGAAAATATATGTTTATAGCAAAATGTTTCTTTAAAAAATTATTGCTGTTAAGATAATCTGAATATGAATGTGATATTTATCATCCTCTAAGATGTGACCAATCAAGCCAGTATAGATGCCGCTGTTGAGAAGGTGTCACCTTTGGTGGGGGCAGAGGGGCTGAACTGCCTTATAAACAATGCAGCCATTGGCGGGTCCATCAACCTTGAAACAGTGACAGCTGAAGATTTGCTGAAGACATATGAAAGTAACACTGTGGCCCCTCTCATGGTCACTAAGGTAAAAAGAAGTTGTGTGGTCCTTTGGTAATTAAGAAAGCATGATGAAATCATGATTTCTTGATATTTAATTTTGATTTTTCCTCCTGCTATATTCCTGTTGCAGGCCTTTTTGCCGCTTCTGCGAGCAGCTGCGACGCGTGGCTCTGGGGTGGGAATCCACAGAGCTGCTGTGATCAACATGTCCTCCAGTCTCGGATCCATCCAGCTCAACCAGGGAGCTTTAGCGCACATCAAGTACTATGGCTACAGGGCCTCCAAGGTGAGCGCTCAACTGTTCCAGAATCAGATCTGAGCACCACACTCCTCTGCTTAGGCAAATCTGACCCCATGTTCAATGAATACCATATTGCATTGCAATGGTGACAGCTTTTGTCAACAGACTACTTGTTATACAAACAAAATGGTGGAAATACAGGCATAATTATAAAACATTAAGTAACATGATGATACTCATGATCTTTGCAATCACTGAAGATGGCATTTCAGTTTTGAATAATAGGTATTGATGGTAACATGTTACTTGATGGGGCACAATTACTCAGTTACTACTGAAATACAAATTATGAACAAATGCTGAACAGATACAGTCACTACTTGAGATAAAAGATACGTTATGATTCATAAATGATGTACAAACATGATCAGTATTTCACTTGCATCATTCATTACTTGTTCCTTCAGCAGTTCCTTAGTAGTTCCTTCAGTATTTCCTTCAGTAATTCAGAAAAGTTTACAGAATTAACAGATATAGTGACTGCTTGAGACATAATGTCACGATCCGGCATGCAGGCGAACGGGGAAGCAGGCAAGCGGAGCCGTGAAGTCTAATACACGTGGTTTTATTGGTCACAGACGGGCAGACACGGACAAGACCAGGCACTACGCAGGACAACATCAGTGACTAATCTGGGAAGACTAACTCAGACAGGGACTAAATACAAAAGACAAGCTAAGGGTAACGAGCCACAGGTGAGAACAATCAGGGATGAACACGAGGTAATGAGGTGGGCATGGCACACATTAGGATCAGACGGAGCAGATCATGACACATAACATGAATCACGATTCAT